TCATTCTGTTCTTTATCCTTTATGAATGTGATAAATTGCATTACTGATTTTGATTGTGATATAGGAGAATGAAATTCTTGACCTACCTTATTCTATATCTGTTCATGCGCTCTAAAATTGAAGAATGAATCTTAGGAATAATGTAGGTTAGGAGCAGAAATATTTGAAAGAAAGCTTCTGTCGGAGAGAAACAGAAGGGCTCCCTAACTGGGTTGCCAAAGATTCTGTCTTTTCTAGGGATTTTTATAGAGTAAAACCTTGAGGTGAGCTGGGGCTAAGTGGGGAAAACTGGGAACTCGCAAGGCAGGTGGGCATGATGTGGGACAGAGCTAGGGTCAAAGAATAAACTTAATTGTTCAGATAAAATTGACCAAATCAGGGACAAATGTAGCAAGCAATCATTCTTTATCTATCAGTGATTTTTCCTGTAGGGGGTTGGGATGGTGACTGCTGGCTTCTCAAGGTGATCCATACCTAATCCCTAATGTTTATACTTAGGATGTGGTCGCATTTGTTTTGCCTTCTGTTTTGAGATCTGGCCCACAGCAAGAAGTGTGCTTCTCCTCTAAGGTCACAAGACATTTGATCTTCTGTGCCTGCTTCTTTGAGGGCCCAGCCCTGTCTGACTGCCTATGATATTTGTAACTAGATCAGCTCCCTGTAACAATTGGTCAACCAGCCTTTTCTTTTTTTTCCTTATAAGGACTGAGTGGTTCATTAGCAGAATGTTTTAAGACATAGGAGATCCTTAGGAATGGAGCGTGAATGCATAGGGGGATTTTGACAGAGAATTCCAAGCTGAGCGATATCACTTCCAGGGGAGCCTTTGGGAGGACAGCCTGAGGCCCAAGAGGGCTGTGCCTGACTGTGGCTGAGGGCTGAGAAGAGACCATCTGTATAGAGGTTAGAAACCCAGCCTATATCCAGGCTGGCCTCTCACTATACAGCTCCTCCAGTGGATGCTTGTAGATGGTAGATACTGAGCTGTTGTAAACCCTGAATGAAGGAACTGGGGAAAAAGTATGTATCTATCTTACTGTACTGCTACAAGGGATATTTTACTTTTGAACATACGAATTTTTTACCTCATTGCCTTGTTCCAGGAACATGCTCAGCAGGCATCAGTCAATACTGCTGTATCACCATCATTTTTCTTATATCACTCAAGAATAAGCACCATAGTTTCGGATACATCTGGGTTTGGATGCCAGCAGACAAGATCCTGCTTCTGTAGGAGTGCATTCATTAAACCACAAAATATGACTTTTAAATAATTTTTCACATATCTCTTTGTGTTAGTTTTCTATTGCTGCTATAACAACAACAACAACAACAACAAAACTATCAGAAACTGTATTTGTTTTAAAACAGCACAAGTTTATTCTTGTCCACTTTTAGAGATCTGACGTCCTAAAATGCAGGTGTGTGGGCGGAGTGGAGGCTTCTCCAGAAGCTGGGGGGAAGCACTCCATTGCGTTTTCGGCATCTAGAGCCTGCTGGGTTCCTGGCTAGCTTTGCCTCCTTTCTTATTATGCTTGGACCTCACTTCCTCCTGTCTGGACTCTGTCCTTGCTTCCTCTCTGTTTTGAGGATTTTTTGATTTCTTTGGGTCCACTTGAATAACCTGAGATTCACATCCCCATCTCAAGATCCTGAACTTGATTACACTGTAGCATCCTTTTTGGCCCTGTTGGGCGAACTGCTGACAAGTTTTGGGGATTTGGGTGGGCATGTCCTTGTAAAGCCATTATTCTGTCTTCCCTTCCCATCCTTCCTGTTAAACTCTTGTTCTGTTGAGTCTTGTAATTTGTCTTTATATCTGGGAAATTTTAGCCATTGATACTACCTGGTACACAGGGCCAGGAATAGGCAGCTAGTGTTGGGGTGCTGACCCTGTTCTGTGATTTAGGGCCCTTTGTCTGCCTCACTTGGTTTTTTTAAAATTTCATTTATGAAGTTATGTATCTTTAGGCTGATTTCATAGTTCAGCTGTAATTTTTGAATCCATGTGTGAGATTTTTATCACCTTTTTCACTTTGTGCTTCTGGAATGAGTATGGGATAAAGTACTTAACGGTGGAAGGGAAGACATTTTGTGTATGTTCTTTACCAGTTTATAGGTGCCTGATGTATTTTTCAAGAGGTGATTCAAAGATACAGTGAATGTTTAAATTAAAAAGAACAAAATGCTTTTCACAATACAATACACATTGCCAGGAATGACAGGATAATTCATTTAAAGGAAGGGGCATTTTAAGGGAGACATTGACCATGGTTTTTGATTACCATTCATTGAGCAAACATTTATGACAGTCTCTGTCAAATAAAAACCTGGGGGTCCTCATTGACCTTTTTCATCTAATCTGGCACCATAGAACTTCTGCCTCATCCCCAAACTCAAAATGATCATTAAAGATAAAACAATTTTGAACTGATTTAGGAATCAAAGCAGCCATGACAGCACACTACAGATATTCATGAAAGTGGTCATCAAACTGCTCAGAAAGTGGCAAGAATGATGGGGTAAGCATGTTCAAAGCATGGTGGAGAGTAGTTTGAGGGTGTTTAAATGGCAGTGTACATTGTCTTAAAAAATTTGACCACCCACTGTAGTTTTTGATCTTATGCACTTGCCATGCTCATTTTATTTCATTATTATTATTTTTGATATATATTTTTTCCCTGTATCTGTAACAGAAAAGGCGTATTAGTGGGATTGTATTAAGGATGGTGATAAATATACTTATGGTTACTAAAGGCTTAAGAATATGGTTATGCTTAACTGGGGAAGTTTAGCATATGCTCAGGGCTTACCTTCTGAAGTTATTTCCTCTCAAAGACTCATCATAAACTGCTAAATAAACTCTATAACAGCTAGTAACCATCTCTTGTCAGTTGAAGACACTTACATTTTATGCATTTGGAGAAAATGGAATTTTTTTGGATATGTATGGCTTTTGGTATTTTAGAGTTTTTGTGAACAGGTAGCAATATCTTTGCTTGAGTTTTTAAAAGGGATTCTAGAACATATATAGTCTTCTTAGTAAGGGCCTTCAGCGTGGAGTATTTACTGTGGGCTCCATTGTGTCACCTTCCCCAATGATACTATTTTCTTTAAGAGACAAAATACACAATTCTGTGATGTTGGTTTTGTTATTCTTTACAGCCTGAGAAGGTGGTGACAGGGCACATGGTGTACTGTAGGCTACACAGGTGTTCATGGGTAGAGGTATTGTCCTGCTCATCTTGTCTGACACTTAGAGACTATGAACATGAGTCCTGTGGAAGCTACAGGGTTCCTGAAATTCTAACCTGCTTTGCAGCCTGGAACAGCTCAAGCAGTTTAGGTTTACGAGGCTACCTTTTGCACAGCTAAGCGTGGCTCTGTTGCTGAAGCTGGAGGCATGCAATAGTGAAAAGTGTGTGATTTTTTATGTGGGCACATCTTAACACACAGTCTGAAAGGTGATGGACTCATACAGAATAGGACACAAAAGTAGCAAAATGTGGGGTTGTGAGGAGCAGGGCTGAAAGAGCAAACACATTATTGCTTGGCAAGTGTCCCTCCTGGGAAGCCCATTGGGTGAGGGAGGGCAGTCTGGGACAGACTGGTGTGGGTCAGGCTGGCTTCCCCTTCAGCAGGAAGAGGCCCAGGGAAAGGGAGTGTGTGGTGGGAATGAAAATGAGGTCAGGTAGTGGAGGGTTTTGTTGCAGGAGTTTGCAGGTAATATTGTAAGAGAGAGCTTTAGAGATGCAACCCAGGAAACTTAGAGTAACCTGGTCTGGCAGGGATGTCCTGCATAGACAGGCAAGAAATTTGATCAGAGGTTTAAAGATGAGTTTTATACTGCATGCTGCAGTTTTTCAGGTATCATGACTTGTGCAGGAGGGGTGTGTGTGTGTGTGTGTGTGTGTGTGTGTGTGTGTGTATGTGTATTTAAATTATAAGTAAGCTGCTTGAATATCTTTTGTCACTTTGTGACACCCTTTACAAGTGTGAATTGCTTTTTCTGAAACACCGGAGGACAAATGCAGCTGAACGATGCATAGTTGAGATTGCAGACGTTTGTTGGGTATCATTAACAATTTTAAGGATTTCTTTTTAATTTTAAGTTTTGTAGTGCTGGTAATTGAACTCATCACATGCTAGAAAAAGCTCTTTACTATTGACTATATTGCCCAGATTTTAAAGATTCCTCCTTTAATGGGGATGCTGTTTTGTTTTCTGTGATTTTAGTGTCACCAACTGGCTTAATATCAACATTGATTATATACTCATCAATTTGCTTTCCAAAAATATGGTTTTGGTGTAGTTGGTGGGAAATTAGAAAAAGTCTATTAATGGAAATAAGAGACAGCATCTGAAGTTAGAATGCTGTTAAGAATATCCTTCATATTATAAATACTGACTTATATGGAATACTAATTCAGGCATGTGAAGCAATGAAATTTGGATACATAGTATGGGTCAGCCTATAGGGCATTATAGTAAGTGACAGAAGTTAGACATAAAAAGTCAAATACTATGTGATTCCACTTAAATAAGTTGTTAAATTCATAGGGACCCAAAGTAGATTAGAGGTTCACAAGGGGCTCTCAGAGGGAGGTTTTGGGAGTTTTTGCTTATGATTATGGGGTTTGTGTTTGTAGTAATAAAAACATTTTGGAAATATATGGGTGATTGATGTACAGCATTGTGAATGTGACTTAAGCACACTAAATTGTACTCTTAAAAGTGGTTCAAATAGCAAATTTTGTTTCATTTACATTTTGCCACAATAAAATAATTTATGGAAGTCTAGTGTTTTTGGTGGTTATGAATTTGTCCAGCTTAACACTAGCAGCCTTTTGTGTGGAAGCAAAAGCTAATTGTGTGGGTGTCAGACAGGATGATACAGGGAAAGACTGAATGTATTTCGATATTCAAAATGGTAAAAATAAATAAAAACAACCCAGCGTTGTCATTTCTACTGTTAATATATTCCTCTGCTTTTCCAACAGCATTTTATAACTATGATGCCAGGGGAGCAGATGAACTTTCTTTACAAATAGGAGACACAGTCCACATCTTAGAAACGTATGAAGGTGCGTATTATTTTGATGTCTTTCTTCTTTTGCTTTGGGCAGTTGAAATACTTCTTTTCATGAAAAAAGTAACCAGGCAAAGTGTTTTTTTGTTACAAAGAGGTAGGTAACTACTTTCTCTTCTTAGGATCATTTCTTGCAGAGGGATGCCATTTCAGGTAAGCACAGTAAGGCAGGTGTCCGTTACTTAAATATGACTTTATGGATATCAACTTAAAACTAAAAATTTCCATTTTTAACACCTGCAAAAAACTTTCCTTATTTCTTTGTTTTGCAAGTGTACATAAATCTTGATTGTTAGTAATCAGCTTATTGATTAAAAAATAGATTGAAGGTATTCTGGTTTTTAGTTTGTTGTTTTGATGTGTTTGATGGGAATTGTTAAGTTTTTGGTGCTCTCACTTTGATTTGTTAATAGCGCATTTCAGAGGAACCATGATTGTCATTTCTTACTTCCTTTCCTCTTGCATTTTATCTGTGACCCCCATTTTCTCAGGAGTGAACAGACTGTCACAATTACGTGGCACATAGTTGAATGAAGCAATTGTTATAGTTAGTTGATATACTACTGGTTACAGTGGCTTTTTGGTGGCCTTAGTTTTTGCGGACAATTGCCTTTCATATTTAATGTTTTGTAAGTTGTTTGAGAGGACTATCTTTCATTTTATATTGTACTTAGGATGGCTTACAAAGGAAGTAGTCATGAGTTTGACTTCTTTTATAGCATTTTTCTAATCTGTAAATTGTGTCTTACTGTTATTGGCTTCATTTTCTGCTTGAAACAGTGATTCCCATATATGATATGAATAAAAAAATAACTGATTAATCAAAGGATAATATAAAAATAACTGATTAATCAGAGGATAAATAGCAAAAGTGTTTTTAGACCAGGTTTAACTAAGCTCTTCCAAGTGGGAGAGGAAATTGAAGACATCTTCTAGTAATCAGCACATTGAACCTTAAACTCAGTTTTTAAAAATCACTTTGCACAGGGATGAGCTGTGATGAACTTTTGTGTACCAGAGAAGTTGCAGCTGGCTGCAGTGTCCTGGGAAGACGCCTCTGAGAAGCATAAACCTGTTGACAGGCCATGTTTGTGGTCCTCATTTCCCTATCTGAGGCATGCCAACGCAGAATTCCATTCCATTTGTACCTTTTATCTTAAGAAAATCTCATCTGAAATTAAAAGAATTCTGTTAGTGGCATATGCCTGCAAGCAGCCATAGCTATACAAAACAGAGCCGGTCTTTAAGCCAATGAGTAGTTGTGCAAGGCACTGTCTGCCTTGCAGTTTTGACAGCTGACAGTTGAATTTTCTTATCTACTCTTGGTGCGTATTGCCAGTGGCTCAGAGGAAACAGATAGAAATTAAGTAGAGGTTAAGGATCAACCTTCTCATCTGAGACACTTTTCTGATCTAAGGGAAGTGCTCTGATATCTTTTTTATCTTTGCCGCTGGTCAGTTGAACTTGTAATCCTAGGTAAGAAACACTGGGCAGTGACATCATCCTTGAATAGCTAATGATTTCCTGTGGCGCCTAGGTTTGTCAGAACTGCAGTGTCTTATTCCATGCTTCAAAAGGAGAATGTGCTCTTTAAAGTACCATTTTTAGGCTTGTCGATGGTCCTTTGTTATATACTTAACTTAAAAATAATCTGATAATGGTGTTTGATTTTTTTAGCTCACATAAGGGATCTTCTGCAAACTATCATTTGCAAGCTGGTCTCTTACTAGATTAAAACATTTCAGACTTTATAGAAACTAATATAAAATGAATTTTCCGTCTTGACAGCTAACTTTCTGGTTTTAATCAGAATCTGATCAGAGAATTGCATTGAGGGAGCTAGTTTCATCTTTGGAAAATTTGGTGTCTTTATTGTTATCAAATAAAAATGGAATAATGTACTTCCATTTGTTTTCCTGAGTCTGTCTTGTGTTCAGTTTACATTTCATAGGATTTATCTTAGAGTTTAAACTCCCCTCTTAAAAAAATATTTTCTGTTTGCCAGCCTTGATTTTCTTTTTTTCTGTGATCCTCTGGGACTACTACTTTAGCTTGTTCCAAATAATGTAATTTCTAGATGGCCACCCTTACCCTGACTTCTCCCCTTGCTCACTTCTTTTAAAAGATAATTATGCTTGATTAAAGAATACATTTACCTTCACATTTCTTTTTCTTGGACTCATGAAAACTTAAGAGCACAGAGCAAAGAAAAGGCACCTTCCAGGTCTCTGGGGGGAGGAGGGTGGGAAGATTTCTGAAGGGTGATTCAGTGTGGGCTTCTCCCTTTACGCAGTGTCCAGAGCCCGCTCAACAGGGCACATGAGGCTACATCCTCGGTGTATGATTCTGGTGTGCCTAGGGCAGTACCAGTTTGCTATCTGCTATTTCTACAAAGGTCCTCAGAGACTGGGTGTGAGGGAATCTGTAGGCTTGGCACACAGATTAGGAAATTATTTTTTTGATTTAGCTATGATGTTTGAACCTAATTTATTTAAATTTTTAAAAGTCATTTCTTAAAAAAAAAAAAAAAAAAAAAAAAAAAAAGAAATGGGCTGTGGCCTGCCTGTCATCCCCTCTTGGGTAGCTGTCTCTTGTTGGAGCAGGTTTGTTGACAAGGTGGAGGCTATTAGCAAGCCCTGCTCAGGACAGTTCAACCAACCAATCTGTTAATTCTTGCTGAGAATCTCTTTGTCCTAGCCTCATCCTTTGGGGTCAGCTGGCCATTGTGTCACAGCCCCTTATTCCCCACAGTGACATCCTCTTCCTCTCATATTGAACTTTGTCATACATAAGAGTTTGTGGTTTGCCTTAGGAGCCCTCTGGGTTATAATCATGGAGGGCAGAGATTGGGTCCAATCTGTTTCTGTATTTGTGTACCTGGTAATGTTCTGTCTGGCACATAATGTGTGGGCTCAGTTAGATGAGGGAACAACATATGCAAAAAATTGGGGGAACAGAACTGTGTGGGTTTATATTTTGTTTAGAAAGGCCATTAAAAAAGACACCAGAGACTACTGACATTATGAGTGAGACCAAAGACTTCCTCCACTCCCTAAATTCTCTTTTGTTTAAAGTGTTTCTGCCCTATTTGGGGGTGCCTATGCTTTGTTCTCATTCTGTGTCTCACAGTTTTACTTAGGCTATACTCTCTAGTGTGTTCCTCCTGTCTGTGTCTCTGTAGCCTGTGGCTCTAATTGCTTATCATCCATGTTCCACATTTTGCAAAACACCCTTCCCCGTTATGGGGGTTCAGATTGTCTGTACTTCCTGCCACCCTGGATCATGCTACTTGAGTATCATAAGTTACTTTTAGTCCTCCTGGGTGTGCAAATGTCTTTGGGCTGTCTTCCTAGGAGGCAGTTGGTTGCTAGTTTCAGGTGTAGGGACTCTCAGTTTGGTGAGGAGAGCCTGCTACACCCTCACTGGTAGCAGTAATCCACACTCCACCTTTAATTGGCAGGGAACTGCTGTGTCCTATAGCATTCTGATTTCTCCCACTTCTAATAACTATTCTATGTTTTAAGTTTTCATTTTTACTTAAGTTTTATCATCTCTTTGTACATGTGTATGTCTTCCGGGTTTTTTTGTACATTGTTATACGTTTTGCTTTTTGTTTTTACTTGGCAGCTGACTTATCTCTGTGGTATCTCCTTAACATATTCTAGGACATTAATCCTTTGTCAGTTGTAGAAAAGAAAGGACATATTAATGCTGAAAATGCAAGAAAGGATGGGATAAAGGACAATCCTTTAAAGTGAGTGAACAAAGCTTTTGAATAACTTACTTTCCCCTTGCCATTTTGCTGTGAACACTATGGCATACATAGGACTGATTCAGGGCTGGCATATGTAAAACCTTTGCACAGTAGCTGACTAAGTGACTTAGCAGATAACTCCTCAGGTATGTTCTCGATCCACCCTTGCAACTTAATATATACACTATCCCTATTCAACCTGTTTAGAAACAGGAGTATGTTCAGTGTTCTTAGCTAGGTCTTAGCAAGTCCTTTGCAAGGGTCCTGAGAGTTCTTGTCTTCTTGTATGAGTTCTTTGAGGATAAGAATCCTTTGAGGATTTTATTTCTGGCTCATAATCATCTTATTCACCTCTGCTTGTTAAAATGACTACTTCTTGAGAGGGTGTAAGGCCAGTTGCTACGACATCTGACCATTTTCATTTCTGCCTAAACTGGTTTTCTCATTCATATGTCATTATGACATAGGCTTTGGCTTTTTGATTGTATATACAACCCAACATTTGGTGACTGTTTGGGGATTTACCCAGGCTATGTTATCCAAGTAATCTCTGCAACTCTTTATCAGGACCCTTTTTGTCCAGTGGGGTGAAGTTGAGATTTGTCTCTGACATTTTGGTTTGTTCTCTGGAAGTGAGGAGACCTGGAGTGCCTTTCAGATATTTGGGGTTAGAAAACATCTATCAGTCATTATGCCATGTAAGAGTCCATTGGGTATTTTGTTATTGGCCATTGACCCCTTGGCATTTCAGAGAGAAGTCATTGCACTTAGCCTAATGGGTGGTTCCAAGGGTGGGGTCAGATCTGGCCTCCTCGTGAAACAGCTCTTCCATGCAGCATTGGATGTGAATAGTTCTAGTGTGTTTGTCCTTCTGGTCTCCCATTTTCTTTGTCTCTTGATACGGAAGGAATAGGAAGTTGAACCCAGACCCGAGGGCCTGAGTGCTTGGTCTCTGACCTTTGCTTCCTGTTGTGGTGTGAGTCTGCCACAGAAGAACTTTGTGAGATCATAACTGCCCCAGAGCTAAGCTCTTCTGAATTGAAGGAGGAAGTTAGCTCTCAATAGATTTTCTGTTTAGGGAGCTCTGAATGATATGAGGATGCTCGTGTGTAGAGAGACCATGAACCAGGATGGGTAGAGGGAGTGATAATTGGAAAATGCATATACAGGGAGCCTACTCAGGGATGCTAGTTAGAAGGATAAGCATTTTTGATATTGGACTTAATTTCTGATTGCTCTTCAGGGTCAGGTGAGGCAAATATAAATGAAAGCAGAGAGGTCCACCTGTGAAATTGCCAGTTATCACTCAGTGTTAGGCTTATTAAATTCAACTGACTCGTGCAAAGCAAAGAATTTTACATACTATACTATAAGGATATTGCAGGCCCCTTTGTGTCTCCTTGTGCTAACTGTTTCAACTTTGTCTCTGTTTAGGGTGGTACAGAGGTTACACCTTAAGGAAAAAGTCTAAGAAGGTAAGACCTTCTCTTTAAACACAATGCATGTTGTTTCATAAATCAAACTGTGAGAAGAAATCAATTCTGTCTCATTTGTGTCTGAGAGTTTTACTTCTATATCTCTTTCTCTGACAGTAACAGATATATAGGTTGAAATGTGATGATCTTGAATTGTATTCTTCTGAACAATATATGTGTACATAGAAATTGCAGTTTTGGTCCATGAATGGGTTGTTGGTCTGTTGTTTTGAAAAGTGTAGTCCTTTTTGTCCTAGTAGAATTTTGTATCCTCTTTATGCATTGTGTAAAAGAGAATGAGCTGAGCAGGATGACTTTGGAAAAATAAAATGTTGCTAACCATTTTCAGTCTTTTATTATCCTTGATCAGTTTGTGCATTTGCAAAGCTCATGTATGATCATTTCTTCCTTGTTTGTAACTGATTTACACTCTTCAAATTGAGTCGCAAAAAACTCCTGTTTCAGGGCATGTGTGGTTCTTCAAATATCTGAAAGTGAAGCCTGTCATTGTACCTCAGATCATTGTGGTAGACACTCCTGTCCGCAATACTGTATAGTTTTAACATTCTTAGCTTTGCAAAGCCTAATTTTGGCTCTTCTGTTTTATTCTATGGCATTATAACTTACAATTAACATCCATGCTAAGTTGTGGTTAGGCTGTCCATGTTACCTTATACGTTTTAATATCTAAATATGCTTGACAGATAGTTTGTTTTACTTTGCCTATCATTATCTCCATTTCAAGCTGGACTCTACCATGCCTGAAGTAAAGCTTTGGACAGTACCATGGCTGTCCTGTTCTACCTTTGTCAAGGCCAGGTTGTGCTGACAACTGGAGCTCTGTGAGGGCTGAGAAGCTGCTTGGAAGTCACTTGGAAGGGGTATAGTCATATTGAAGTTCTAACGGAAGAGTCACCATTGGGTGTACTGGTCATGCAGACATGCAGATTGGTGTAAGGACCTCTTACTTTGGCCTTGCTGAGCTCCTACTGGGCTGTGAATCTCTCTGCATATGCAAGGTTATGCAGCTTTAGAGTGTGGACAAGATAGCTCTCAACAGAGAGTAGAATAAATTTCTCCAAGGAAATTTTTCTTTTCATATTAAATTTCCCTATTTATAATTAAAGGTATATTCTTGTGCAGGAAACTCTTGAGTTCCTTCTGGGGAATCCACAGTTTAAGACTTTAATGAGGCAGAGATTAGGGTTATGGGCTACCAACCCCTCCCTGTAGTCCACCTGTAACAGGACAGAAATGCCGCTTCTCTGGTAGTGTGCGCCCCTAGTGGGCTATTAACTTCCTTGGGGTTTGTATTTGGCGTTTGGTATATCAGTTTCCCCAGCGTGAGATCTCTCTCATTTTTCAGGGTCTTCCCTTAAGCCACAGACCTATCCTGGACCAGGGTACCTAGGCCTTATATCACACGGACACAGTGAAACTGTGGAGTGTGGTTATTTTAGTAAGACTCTCAAGGCAGATAAGGGAATTGAAGCCTCACAGAGGTTGTAGTTCTGCAAGGGGCTCCCAGAAGTGGCATGGCCCTTAGAATTGTGGACTCTTGAGTGTTCTGCAAACATCGTTTGTTTGTGTAAATGCTTACAAAGGTGCAATTGATCCTGGTAACATAGCCAAAATTGTTTATTTCAAACCTTTAGATATGTCCAGTCTCATCCAATCACTCTCTCTTCTGGCTTTATGATTTGGAGTGGATTTGTTTATATTGAGGGAGCATCTCTGCCTGTGGACTTGTTGGGGGCAGGGATTGGCATGTTTGTTTATCCTCCTTTGGGTGTACACCTATTGGCATTATGGAAAGTTGCCATCTGTATCTGTAGGCTGTCCTGGGATTGGAGGCACCTGGGATATATGGGACTGGGTCTTTTTTTTTTCTTTACTCTTTATTTCCTATTCTATTCCTCCCCTTTTTGTAATGGTACTTTTTTTTTTTTTTTTTAACATAGAGTCCAGCCACTTTCCTGGTAGGCAACTGGGATGAGTGGTACCTGTTAGCTAGCCCTGTTCAGCCCTCTTGGTGCTCCATGTCCTTCCAAGCATGATTGGCAATCTGGGTTTCTGGATTTCCTGTGTAGATATTTGGGGAGCAGATGCCAGAGGAACCTAGTTAGAAGCTCCTGTTTCCACAGCAGATGTGTTGAAGCCATAGTGTACTTAATGGATTTTTGCTGTGTGCAGTAGCTCTCTTGCAGGAAAAGTGGTCTGTGCTTATGCTGCCCAAGAACTCAGCCTAGTGGCCCCATTGTGTGCCTTCTTTGCATTTACTTTTGCTTTTTTGTAGTAAGCATGTTATTTTGGTTGCTCAGGGAACAGGGCCACTGTTCTTGGTAAAACTTCTCCTGGCGATTTACAGACTGCCTGACACTGTACATCCTGTGGAGAAATTGTCTTCTGCAGGCAGTGTTCACCCTGGAGGTGTATGTGTTACACTTCGGAGGTGCAGAGCCCCATGTGAATGTAAGCTCTTGTGTTGCTCCTACAATTGTGCTGAGTGGATAGAATTCACACCCTCTTCTCGTATTTTACTATTGGTCTCTCTATTTGGAGATTTATGAGATTATGGAGATTTACTCAGTGGTGTAAGTCAGTGGTCAGTGCAAAGTGATAAGCAATGGCTTAAACCAACTTTCGATGACTATCTTACCATTTTGAAAGGGGAATACTGTCAGAGACCATCATCAAAAAGTGTTATTTTTAGCATCAGTTGGCTTTTGATGTGCCTGTGTAAAGGTCAGCACTGGCAATGAGGGCCAGCTTATAGACAGAGAACTTCTTGTGTCTTTGTAGAATTTTTCCTTTGCGTACACATTGTCTCTGTTTTCTTCTAAGATGCTTGCAGACTGAAATGCAAACTGAGTTACTACTGTATGTGGGGCTTAGCATAAGGCTTGTGAAATTAGTAGTGATGTAACCACTTCTATCCCTACCTTTTGGAGGTTTATTTGATTTGTCATCAATATGTATGTTGAAATAAAAACTGCATTTTTCCTTTTCTCCAAGGGTATATTTCCTGCTTCATATATTCATCTTAAAGAAGCAATAGTTGAAGGAAAAGGGTAAGTCTGTTTTTCATGTTTAATGAATCACAGTAATGTACTTGGCATAGCTGGTAGATATAGGTAGCGTACTGTTAAGAGGTTTAGATAACAGCTGTGATTGAGATGGTTCAGGAGCTTTAGGGTAGGAGGGGGAAGTTGTGATCGAGAGCTGTGTATATTGCTTTGGCCCTTGAAGAAGTCTGAGGCCAGCACCATAGCTGCAATCATTCTTCATGAATTTAAGGTTGATTTTAGAAATTGTTGGCCTGGGTGTTCTGCTTTCTCTCTCAGCTACCCCCATTTGGCAGAGACTCCATAACCCCCAGCTCTGAGTCCATTTTTCTAGCCAAGACTTAGTGTGCTATGATACAAATGCAGTTTAGAGGGGAAGCAACAGTTGTTAAATTAAGACATGTATGAATTTACATTCCATCTTATTGTGATGTATGTTTCTTAGAGGTCATCATCAAATGATGTATAAGATCATTATAAGGACATTTGTAGAACAGGAACCCATTAGGCAGGAATGGCAAATGAATAGCCAGGTGTGAACTTGAAATAAGGAACAGTATAATGTTTTCTTTTTTGGTCTCTGCTACATCTTCACACTCAGTTAAATATGTAAATTATAAAATTACTAATCATATGATTACTGCATAATGACATCTCTTTGGCTGATTACAAAATTGCCTTTCCAAGCACTGTACTTTTACCATATGAAAAGGATTTCTTAGGCTCTATAGTCCCATGATGCATAATTAAAATGAAAATAATTTAGAGGTGTGAATAGTGTTGGCCTGCAATATGGTCTTTTCTTTCTTTCTTTTTTTAAAGACAGGTAAAATGTTTTGTATGCAAAATTCTAGGGGGAAGAAAAAGAAAGTTAAAACTTTTACCCATTGACAGAAATATGGGCATCAAGTATACACTTAATGTTTGGTTTACTAACTTTCCTTATTGCTAGGACAAAATACCTGATACCCGCAATTTAAAGGAGGAGAGGCTTATTTTCGTTCTCAGTTAGAATTTTCGGTGCATAGTTGATCTGATCAAACACAGAAACAGCGTAGTGGAAGGGCCTGCAGTGGAAGAAAGCTGTTCATGTCTTAGGAGCTAGGAAGTAGAGAAGGAGGAGAGGAGCTGGGGAGGCAGATACATTCTTCCAGCTTATGTCTCCATTAAGCCACTTCTTCCAGCTAGGCACTGCCTCCTAATAGCACATCCAGTTACTAAAACTCCTTGATCGATGAATCTATTAATGTATACAGCACTGCCCTGAACCAATCACTTTCCAAAAGATCTGCCTGTGAGCGCATCAAGATTGGGGGTATATACTAGGTCTTAATCAGAGCTATGTTCTCTATATCTGTTTTAGAATCCTTTTACAGATCACCTTACATATAACTAATAGTTTTGAAAGGCATTGTGATCTCTATAAAATAATATGTGTAAAAATGTAATTATAAAGTGAACAAGTAGTTACTTCCATTCTTAATTAGTAGAGCCCCAGTCACCCAGACAGACTGGCAGACTGGGACACATTTGGTTCCTGTTCCTGAATCTTCTGGTCTATGGTGTCCTATTGTGGGCAGATGGACAGAGCCGTGGTGAGACAGGCTGGAAATGTTGTGTTGCTTGTGCTGTGGGTTTCCTGTCACTGCTTCTTATTACCTGGCTCTGATCTCTCTCCCACCCAGCCTGCTTCTGTGTTCTCCAAGTTCACAATCTCATTCCTCTTGCAGAATGTCTCTCTCACATTATCTCTTCATGTGTTCCTTTTCTTGTAGGATCCTGTCCTCTGTGTTCTGTGTCTTTCACGGACTCTGTCTTGCTTGACCTTTGTCTGTCAGGACTCTGGCCCTCTTTCACTATCAAACATCCTCAATAATTGTTATGTGTCTGTTGCCACTGATTCTATGCCTTTAGCCCCTTAACAAACCTCTTCTGATATTGTGCTGTCATTTCCAGGCTTTGCATTTCACGTCCAGCCCCTTAGCATCAGTGCTCTATTATCTTCTATTGATACCTTGCTACTCAGGCACTTTGGCCCCTTCTTCCCACTGCCCACTGCTCTTAGGTGCTAGGCTTGGCTTTCTCTGATTTCTGCATTGTCCCTCCCTGTTGCCATGGACTCTGGTTCTCTATCTTGAGCTGGATCTGGTCAGGCTGGTACATGGGTTGGGACCTACAACACTGCCCTGTCTTTGGTTATCTTCTTTAATTGTGCAGAAACAAATGACCAGTGAGAGTCACCACCATTGGCTGAGCATCTACTATCTCACTCATTCTTTTTGTTTTTTGTTTCTGAATTTTAATTTTTATGCTGGCAAAAATTATATAGTAATACCTTGGTTCACAAACTCTTCTGTATGCAAACAATTTGGTTCACACACAAAAATGTTTGACAGAATTTTGCTTTTGTTTGTGAACTTCACATCAGGTGACAGACACAACCACAGCCATCTTCCCTACACAGCCAGCCCAGTTGCTGACGAGTGTTCCCACACTGTGACTAGAGAGCACCTTCTCCCTGAAGGCTGTGTAGAGATGATGTGTAGACTTTATCGAGCCACATTCGTATCAACATCCTCACTGGGAAAGCTTGGTGACAGGTTTAGTTGGGGGTATTTTTTCACATCTCCCAGTAAATCTGGTGTTGTCCCACCAGAGGGAAATGCCTAGCAGCAGTGTAGCATGTAGTTGAGAGTGGTCTTTCATGTACTCTTTTCCCAGACATTGGTCCAGACATCCCCACTGAGACCAGTGTTCATCTGAGAACTCCTCCACCTTCAATATTGAATCTCAGTTGGGCGCCAGAGTAAGGGTTCTTTCCACAGTTCTATACCCCAAGTGATCAAGGATGTAGAGGCCTTCTGTGCTGGCTGACTTCTGTTCCATTCAGGATACACGGTGGATCCCTGGGGTCAGGTAGCCTAACTTGGAAAATTACAGATTTAGTCTCTCAGCCTGTCCCAAATTGTCCCCCTGTGATTAGCACAGGGCCTGACCCAGACTACTACCTAAAAACAATGATGGATTGGATAAAAAGCCAGTGCATATGTAGGTAGTTAAAAAGAAGTTGAGGCTTAAGTCTTTGGGGTAGAGAGAAAGGGCCAAGGATAGTCAGAATTGAGACTGTATAAAATACCTATGCATACTTGAAAGCTATAACGTCTTTCACATTTTGCCAAAGATAACTGCTTCCTGCATTCTCGTAGGAGTTTTATGCATGATGGAAATGTAAAAATAATCTTAATCCAAACCTGCATTTTAATACCACACAGTCTAGTTGTAATTTATAGTCTCTCTAAGATAGATGGATTTGCATGTTACAAATATACTGTACTTTTTAGACCTGGACATTCTGAAGACTTTTAATGGGTATTATTTGCTTCCTTTATCTTACCTAGACATATGAGGTAGTTGACTTCCGTGTGGGATAATGTGTGAAAATGCTCAAGCTCTGAACAAATAATACTCGTTATTCTTAAAATTTTTGTATGTCTGACCATAGTCTAATTGGTGTATTTTCTTTCCATTTGCTTAAATACTGCACTCCATGGATTGGGAACGTGTTAGCCGCCACTCAGTGGTTAATGAAGCAACAAACTCAAGTACTTCTTCCTTTCTTCTTTCCTCATCCCAGGCAACATGAAACGGTTATCCCCAGTGATCTCCCGCTCATACAGGAAGTCACCACCACCCTCCGTGAGTGGTCTACCATTTGGAGGCAGCTCTATGTGGTGAGAAAATGGGATGCTCATTCAGGCTTTCGACTGGTATTTGTAGAGCTGACTGTATCAGTGGGATGTTTGTCCTTGCTTGGAGAAGCTTAAGAGAATTTCTGGCACTGAGTCTTACAAAGGGCAGAGAAAGCATTATGTCCATTACTCCAGCACTGTTGGGGATTGTATGCCCTTTGACCTGCGTTTTATTAGGCACTTACTATGATGATGAAGTGTCATATAGTACACTCGAGGTAGAAAGGGAGTACCTTGAGATGGAAAGGGAAACGTGATTTTTTTTTTTAAGCTTCTATTTTGATAATGAAATTAAAACCTACACAGAAATGAGTGGTTTTGTGTGGCTCCCATACAGAGTTTTTTTTTTTTTTTTTCTTTTTGCCATTGGCTGACTGTAGATAATGTCTCTAATGTTTTAAGAAAAGTTACATAGTCCTCTGGGTTTAGCTGTATTTGTGATGAAGTAGAGAAATATCACAGATTGTAGCTTTGTGTGCAATTGTCCAGCTCTCTTGATGGTGGAAGTCTTATTAATGCAGAGAGCTTGGAACTCTGACATCTTTCATTTCATATTCCCTTAGGGCATTTCTTTGCACATAAATTCATATTTTCAGAAGATTACCTTTTGTTAAGCCTGTATTTCTATTCAGTGTTGATTTCTCATATGCTAATGTTATTATCACCAAGCAAGGGCTGTGGAAGGAAGTCGGTACGTTAATTTCTTGGGAACATAGAAAACTTCCTAAAGTCCCACAGCTGTTCGTTGGGCAGGCTTGTTGTTTTTGATTATACAGTGGTTTCCTATAAATGCACAGTAATAAGCAGTTGCAGTAATTGTTCATCAAATGCACTCAAAAACCTAAAAGCGTAAAGTTAGCCATGAATGTTTTGGGTAAATCTGAGCAATTTCATAGTCAGTGTTTCATGTTCAACTTAGCAATTTTTAAACAAAAATATGGCAGCAAAACAAACAGGAGTTTGATGCTGACTAATATGTGAGTGGACACAGCTTTAGCAGTACCATCCAGGAATAGGCATGCTTAATGATCACCTGGGTTTCCTTTTACTATTTTACATTTGGCTTTATTCAAAGCCAACCCACAGAGGTTTATAATTTTTTATATGCAGTTTTTTGCTGTGCTCTGTGGTTATAAGAAGGCAGCAAGATACTAAAGATTTTACATGTTTGTGATGACTTTAGGGAAACGGATTAGTAAGGGGAAAAGGAACATAATAGAAGAAAATGAAAGTAATTTTGCAATAAATCATTAATTTTTATTACATAGTATTCATTTAAGAAATTAAAATTAGGACTAGGAGTATAACTCAGTTGTACAGCATATGCCTAGTATGCATAAGGCTCCAGGTTCAAACTCCAGAACCACCTTGGCTACCCTTTGCCCCAAAGCAAAATTAGAATAATATTACAAATATTAGCTCCTGAAGTGCAAAACAGCTTGTTAGGATGCTGAATGATGGGTGAGTGCTAAGGATCTTAATCCTAGAAACAAGGTCAAACAGTAGGCTCCTGCTTCAATGTATGGAATGGCGGAAGCCATTTAAAAAAAAAAAAAAAAACAAATAGCAGTGACCACATTTTACTTTTTTAAAGGAACTGCGGTGATCAAATATATTATTAGACTCCACCTAGATTTCTTTTCATGGAAAGAACAGCTGGGTCATTTTTCCTGTAGGTAGCCCCTAATCCTGATAAATTGTATTCCTACAAATGTAAAATTTTTGTTTTTTCTTTTTATGATTTTTATCAGAATATGTAAAAGATGATAAGAAGCATGACTTTTGCATCTTACTTGAATTTGAATTTTCCTTTTGGCACAACTGTTCTGAGAGCTTGTAGATTGGAATTTGGTGTTTTGCATGCAGAACTCTGTGTATACTCTATGGGGTACAAGGCCTCAGGGAAAGGAGACCAGTATGGGGCAATTTGTGTTGCTCGTGGGACATCTAGGCCCCAGAGTCTAGTTCCTCAGAGTGCCAAGAATGGCCCACAGTTTTGTGAAGATTGTCTTCAGGTTATCAGGGAGGCAGAGCTTTAGGCTGGAGCTGATTTAAAGAGAGCTGTAAGCATTGTCTTTGTAGCTCAAAGTCAGGCTTTGAGATTCAAAGTCCAGCTCTTGTTGTGCTCAACTTCCTGATTCAGTGGTATTTATGTACTTGGGTATTGAATGGAGTCATGATGGTATGAATTCTTATTCTTTTAATCTTTTAATATCTTATAAGAACCAAATTATATATATGTTCCATTTTATACTGAAGCACTTTTTAATTTGACTTTAACTAAATCCTATGGTATAGTCCAGATACCACATATATATATGAAGAAATGTCTGTTCAGTATGATTTTCTTCCACAGTGTTACTTTATACCCCAAATTCCATAATTGCCTTAATGTTTTTCCTGTTCAGCAAGATAACAGGGAGATGTTTCGAAGTGTGCGGCACATGATCTATGACCTTATTGAGTGGCGATCACAGATTCTTTCTGGAACTTTGCCCCAGGATGAGCTCAAAGAACTGAAGAAGAAGGTCACAGCCAAAATTGATTATGGAAACAGGTTTGTTTGTTTGAAAGATGATTTTATGCTTAAATTACCCAGTTTAATAACATGCACATAAACCTCCAGGACACCAAAATTATATTTTATCATAAAACAAAATTTCTAACATCAAAATCATGGCATAGTTTTCATTTTAAAAAGGATGAGATATTTTCTGTCCTGTTTTTGAAAACCAGGAATTCACTGAATCTGGTTGAAACCTGTTCGTTTTGTCCTCACAAGTGGCTGCAGCCTGGGTAGCTTGTCATTTTCACCGTTTCAGAAGGGTCACTATAGTGATTTCCTTCAATGAGGTAGCAGCGTTTACTTGCTGCTCCGTGTGTACTTTGAATCCAGACATGGAGATATCTTGTACACTAATGGGCATCACATTTTCTTATGTGGACTGCCTTAGTTCTGACAATTAGAGTAGGCATTAGAGGTGTCTATTTAATTGTTCCCAGGGCAGGCATGCCAGATTTCACAAACAGAAATACAGCCATGCTACATTTGAATTCATATGAACAACGAATACTTGTTTAAGTATGTCCTTTGTAACTGTTTTCATTAGGCATCCACCAGGTCCACTTGAATTCTTTGAGTGACAGTATGCTCAGTACCGCATAGAGTATGTTCCAGTGTTAGCCGGGTGCTATCAGGAAAAGAGCTGCTCTGATCCTAATCGTTCTATAACCAGAATGAGGTCATGCAAACAAAGGCCTTCAAAAAAATTTTGCTTTTTTTCTTATCAGGTGACAGACACCTGACCACAGACATCTTCCCCACACAAACACAGCGATCTTCCCCAAAATCATAAAATGAATTGTTTGTAAACTGAGGTACCACACACACACAACACACACACACCCACACACACACAGAGGCTTTGAGATCACTATATTACTACAATAGATGCCCACATGTCACTTTGCACTTTCACAACTCTAAGGTTACCATGGATAAGTTTCTTTGAACCAACAAACTGCTCGCCTGGGAGATAAGGCCCTATAAAAGACAAACAGGTAGAAAGAAGTTCACAAACCCCACTGAAAGAAATGTATGCATAGGCAAAGGGGCCTGCCTTAATCTAAGGGCAGTCCAGAGAGCCAGCCAAATTGTATCAAGTTCCCAGCAAGGAGAAGAGTCCCCCACATTTGGAGAGCTGAAGGCAAAGGCCCTTGGATTTGCCATCCTTCTGGAGCCTGCTGCCCCCTCTTTGGGGTAGCTTTCTGTCTTCTGCTGTTTTCTGCTTACAACGAAAGTGTCTTTCTTTAAACTCCATCCCTTTAATTCATTACTGGTGCTGAGTTTAAGCTCTCGGTTAGCTGCTGATCCCTGTGGAGCAGTGGTACTCATTCCTGGATGAGACACACTTAATACCTTCTTGGTTATTCCTGTAAGTTGGAGCTCAAAGAAGCCTCAAAAATGATCTCTTCACGTGGTTCCCAAACACTTTTAATGTCTGCAGTACTGGCTGGAGATCTGTCTTTGTTTGAATTAGACTATATTGGATCACAGGCTAGAAAACTTTGGGTTTTGACCATCATTCCCTGTTTTATATACCGAGATGTGGAGATTAGAGTAGGAAAAGGGTTTGCCTCTAACTAGTTACCTGAAAGGAGCCCTGGTTAGACTAAAGTGTCTTCATATAAAATCAGAGTTAGCACATAATTTTGTTTTCTAGTCATTCCTTTTTTCTGTTGTGAAAAGTTTTTAAAAGGCATCTTATGACCCATATGAAAGATCTGAAGTAGGTATATTATAGGAGGAGGTTTTGGGGTTTGTTGTGTTTGTTTCTTCCTAGCAGGTCATCTACTGCTAGCTACATGGTATTAGATGTCACAGTATAACCTATTGCAAGAACTCCTGCTTAAAACACAAAGCTTTGGGTCTTTGATTTTATTTTCTATTGAAGAATTCCATTTTTGAACTTGTGTTCCAAGACCACCTGCTTATTTTGGTTGCAGGAAACTACCTAAGTACATTATGTCATGGAAGAATCTAGTTAAGAAAGAGTTTCCAAATATAATTTACTACTTCAATAGGAAATATAATCCTTAATAAGATTAATATTTTGTTTGAAGACGTCAGTTCTACTCCATAATCTCTCTAAAGCCTAAGGCTCCGTGTATATCTTCCTGTTCTTCATTCAGAAAACAAAATAGTGAAAAGTAAAACCTTAATGTTAAATGTTTGATCTGAAGATGGATAAATTAAACATTGAGTGGTTTGTGTCTTATTAATCACTTGCTTATTATTAGCTTTGTTTTTTTCACTTGGCGGAGAGGAGTTCTGGAAGTTATCACCTTTGAGAACATAATGAAAGTCATGGACTATCCCTCTAGACAAATGCACATACTTAATATACACACAGCTCACACACATGAACACAGAGCCACAGACATACTCAGTCATACACATGCATACACATAGGCATACTCAGAGCTATAGACACATAGACACAGCCACACACTGTTTTGCTGTAATTTCAGAAGGGGTTCTACTATCTTCTTTGTAGACCATTTAAGATTTCATGGATCAGTTTTTATTGGTGTTGGTTCATCTAGTGGTGAGATGTACTTGCATGACAGAAACCCATTCCAGATTTAGAACCAGCTGCATGCTGCTTGTTGAGAAAAGCATGTAAGATGGTTAGTGTAGGCCATGTTCAATGATGCCTTGAGGGAGTTTTCATGCAGCGTCCAGGCTCTGGGTCCTTTACGGGTTGGACAAGATAAATAATTCCTTGGAGTTTAGGTTTTCTGCTTTGTGTGGTGGGTTTGATTAGGTTTCCTGTTAGGACTGACATCTTTAATGGAGTCTAAATCTTTTTGAACTTCAGGACCTTGTGGCTAGCCCTTCCAAAGCCAGGTGCTGTGTAGCTAAATTCACACTACCATTGACTCTTGCCCACACCTGCCTGCCCTGGCTCTGATGAGCCCACAGTATCCATCCCACCAAACCAGCACTGACTCTTATGGAGAGGAGCATGGCTGGGGAAAGTCATGTTTGGGCCAGAAGACTTTACACATTAGTAAAGCATTTTAGAGGCAACCAGTGAGACTCTACAAGGTTTTTTTTTTTTTTTTTTTTTTAATGTCTTTGTTTTCGTAAGAGGCACTCCACAAGTATTGTAACTATTCATGCTGATTTTATGGCAGTGCAGAAAACCTGTGATTATTTGTTTAAAAGCCCAGGTCCAGTGGGGTCTGTTTCACCTTCAGTAAAACTTACTCAGGAGATATAAAGAGGAAATAAAGAGAGATTTGCAGTTGTGTTCCAAGTGGTGTAGTGACGCTGCTTGTCAGGAAACTTACCTCTAGCTTTAGGGCATGTATCCTCAAGAGTAGCCCAAGTCTAGCTTGACTGGAAAGTTTATTGGTGATTCAACTTTTTACTGAAACTTGTGACTATTAAAGATGTTCTCTGATTGCATTTATCATTCTTTGACAAGGTTCTTTTTCCTCTGCATTACAGGTAGTTTGCTTCTATAGACTTGTCAATAGCAGGAATACCATATAATGGCAGAATATGAGACATCTATTCTATGGTTAATTACTTGCCCTAAAGTCTGCATTGTTTTTAAATAAAAAATGAGAACACACCACCGTAACACAAATCTTCGTTTCTTGATATATAATTGCCTTTTTTTTTTTTTTTTTTATTAATAAAGACTGACCAAGCCAGGTGTTAAACACCTATAATCTCAGCACACAGGAGACTGAGGCCAGCCTGAGCAATAAGTGAGTTTAAGGCAGGCCTGAAATACATATTGAGAGCCTATATTAACAAAAAATAGTAAAGTTACCTGATAGTTTTATTTGATTTGGGGAATTGGAGAGAATGTTGCCCAAAAAATGTTCACAGTACAGAATGGACAGATTTATTAGCCAGATGTTGCTTAGGTTTTAAGTTGGCTACTATATTTAGCCATCTGGCCAGGAAGTTGCTTAACATTATTGTAGATAACAGCCATATGTTCCATGTTCAAACATAATAGAACATCTTTATTGAAAATCTTCCGGTGGCTTAATGAAGGGATTAGAGCTCTGACACTAGACAGAAGGAAAGTCTTGATGGGGATCCTGCTAGGGATGGTGGTGCATATCACTGTGTGATGTATGTGTCCCTACATCAGTTTTTCTTTCTTTTTTCCCTCCCCAATCCAATGATGGTCTCACAGCCAGCAACTTAATGTGGGCCTACAAGTGAATGTGCATATAAATGAATATGTGTACACAAACATGTTTTTGTTTAGATAGTATGCTTTAACTGTCCATAAGATTATGCATGTGACTTCATGTATATATGGATATGTGCACATAACCACATTTTATGTAAGTATATAAATAATATGCTTTAAGTGTCATACTTTTAATAGTTACTAGTAATGCATATTTCTCATGGGCTTTATAGTCCTGTAAGGTTTCTTGTTAGAAGATGAAGTCATTATTTCATTGGAAGTAAAAATTAAGAATGTTTATATTTCTCCAGTGTGTCTCATTTTCAGTAAATTGTGTTCCCTGTGTCAAAATTGCATTCCCTAATATCTTTTTTTCATGTTTACATCTGGTCAATGACTGGGGGTTGAAGTTGTGCTAGAAAATTCAAATCTCTTGGTTTGTGTTCATAAAGTTCTGAATTCTCGTTCTAGAATTCTTGATTTGGACTTGGTGGTTAGAGATGAAGATGGGAACATTTTGGATCCAGAACTAACTAGCACAATTAGTCTCTTCCGAGCTCATGAAATAGCTTCTAAACAAGTAGAGGAAAGATTACAAGAAGAAAAAGTAAGTTCAGCTCTCAAATATGCTGTTCAACTGTGAACCACATTTTCTCAGCAATATTTCTCAGCTTTCAATATTAATAAAATATCAAGGGAGCCCAGAATTTTCACTAAAAAAACCTGACAAGGAGCAATGGCACAGTGTGTTTTAGACAGCAATGCATGGAATGGAACCTGGTGCTGAATGCGGGAGCAAATTTCATCCCTGTGTGAGATGTGTAAACCACTGTGCTTCATTGTAGAAGACACGATCTTAGTGACCTTGACCATGTCCTCATTTGTCAAGTGGGAGATGATACTTGATTCTGAATTTCTTGTGAAACAGTGGTAGGGGGTGACATAGTCCAAGCTGGATGAGGGCAAAGAACTCATATTTGATTGATCTTTTTATCTTTTGCATTATGCAGTGCTATTATGTGAATAGCAGATATTTAGAAATTAATGGTTTGATTGAATCATCTATTAATTTAGCAAATGTTTATTTGGCATCTGTTGTATGTTAGGTTCTGAAAACATAGTGATGAATAAGACAGAGATGTCCTTGGAGGATTTATTCTAAAGACAAAACCAAAAATTAAGCACCTCCACATATAATCATCATTCCAATTAATTGATTAAACACCTGAAAGTTTTATGCCTCTGAAAACACTGAGCACAAGCTCATACGGGAGTGTGACCACACACAGGGTACTGGTTTTTATCTAGATTTGTGTGATTTGAGAATGTGAAATACAGAAAGGGATGTGGCTGCAGGAGTGGCATTGCTAGTGGAACCTGTGAGTTGAACCCTTTTTTAATTCTATAGGGAGTAAAAAACTCAAAGGTTATCTGTGAATGTTGCTCCTGTTGACTTTCTTTCCATTTATAGTCTCAAAAGCAGAACTTGGATATTAACAGACAGGCTAAATTTGCTGCCACTCCTTCTCTGGCCTTGTTTGTCAACCTCAAAAATGTGGTGTGTAAAATAGGAGAAGATGCTGAAGTCCTCATGTCTCTTTATGACCCTACGGAGTTCAAATTCATCAGGTGGGTGACTTCCATGGTTGCATCTTTGCTGTTTGATTGTGGTTCAGAAAATGGCACCAGAATCTGCTGAATGCCCATTCTTACTGAGAGCCCTTGAGACATTTGGCTTCTGGCTGCTCCTCAACCAATTCAGGGAGAGCAGGGTGAAGGTGGCTACCTCAGGCTCTGGGCTGGGTAGAAGCCTGCTTAAGTGAAAGTTGCTCTTTGCATATAGAGTTACCAAAGATCTCAGGGACACTCTTGCGGTATTTTAAGGACCCAGCTAAAGGTTGAAAGTAGATACTGTTTCTTTCCTATGTTGTTACCATAGGACTTTATACTGTGAGATCCCCTGCTTGTCACCATTCTCATTTTCAAATTTTTGATCAAAATGTCATTTCTGTGACTTTTGTCCTGTTGATATTTCTCTCAGTGGATAGGTGGAATACAGTTTGTAGAATAGTCTGTGCTTCACAGGCTCACAGTTAGCATCTGCTGAATAAAACTGTTGTGAATCCATTGTTTTCGCTTGGCCTTCAATATAATTTTCTCTTTCTCTAGATGGAAAAATTGCAATTAAACTGTACGAGAAATATGTATGTATAGGTCATATATCCAGTGTCCTCACTTGTGTTGTTCAGGATTAGTGTATGACTGACATAGAATGAATGGGTAAATTTATTCTCACTTCTGATAAGGACATTATTTCTTCTTGACATGAGATACAGTTTATGTTTTACAGCATATTTTGTTTGTTGTAAATTCTGAAATAAATATACATAGTGATGAATTTAATACTGTTGTCATTCTCAATTCACAAATGGCATTTCAAAGGTTATTACTTGAAAAGCCTGTTTGTGAAGGGTTCCATTACAATTATAACCCAAGACATTTGAAATTAAAACCTCCCTAGGTGTTTGTTCATTACTTGTTCACAGATGAGTTGCTGTATTTTATATTGTTGATATTTATAAGCTTATGGTTGCCTGGTATAGGTAAACCTCAGCGGTATTAATTATAAAGCAATGTGGATGTACATGTGTTTCCCTGTTACATCTGGAAAACTAATTTGCTTTTATTTCCTCTTTTTTAAAGTGAAAACTACCTGGTTCGCTGGTCAAGCTCAGGATTACCTAAAGATATAGACAGATTACATAATTTGCGAGCCGTCTTTACTGTAAGTGTACTCACAGATACTTGGTTGTCTTTCACCCCGTTCTAATGACTGTTTCAGGGACTTATCGCAGAGGTTTTTCTGCACTCATACATGGGTGCTGGGGATGTCTACGATACAGATTACTCTAGGATTAATAGTGCACTTTCTGAAAATACAAGGTTTTAGTTTCCATTTAGAATCTCTTTGGCAGGTGGGCATGGTGGTGCCTTTCTGTAATCCCAGATTTCTGGGAGACTGAGGCAAGATACTCACATTTTTAAGTTAGGCTGAGCAAATTAGAAACATATTGAGACCCTGATGGCGGGGGTTGGGGTGGTGGGCTTAGGACATAGCTCAGTGTGAAGGCCCTGGGTTCAGTCCCTAACAACACTAGCAAAAAAATCTCCCCCAAATAAAAAACCCACAACAGAGATTTACTGTTACCATGGAACTGTCTCCTCAATTTGTAGCTTAAGTTCACCTAAGTTTAATTGACTATTGTTACTCAGTTCCTTTCTGTTAAGTGAGTAACATTAAAATGCTAAAATTGGAGAAGACTCTGTTTTTTACTGTCCTTTTTAGTTGGACTTGTATTGAATAATGCTTCTCCAAAATAATTTATGGAAATTAATATTTCTAGGACCTTGGAAGCAAAGATCTGAAAAGGGAGAAAATCAGTTTTGTGTGTCAGATTGTTCGAGTGGGTCGTATGGAGCTAAGGGACAGCAACACAAGAAAGCTGACCTCTGGGTTGCGGCGACCTTTCGGCGTGGCTGGTAATCTATTTCTCTCTTTTTCCTTGAAATTCTCACATCCTAACTTTCACTTTGAATAATAAGCACTGCTATTGAATGTTGGACAGTGAGTACCTTTGATTTATAAGCTTTCCTAGTAGAAAGAAAAATTATCTCTTTGTTCTTTTTTGTATGGTTTCAAGTCAGCCTGCTAAATGATGATTCGGTGCACAAGTTTCATCTGTAAACCTTATATTTGATTTTAAAGCAGGTTCCATCTTTCTCTGGGGAGACCTTGACCCATTCCCCAGCCTGTGGGAAGGCTAATCATTGGCGGGTTTCAGGCTTTCAGGAGTTGGCCATTGATTTTGCCACAGGTAGTGGAATTGGTGCAGTGGCAGGAGGTGCAAACCACGAAGAGGCCACAAGCAGGTAGACACAGGGCCTCTTTACCCTCCGTATTTCTGCTTTACTTTCAATGGCAGTGGAAGGAAAGTAAGACATTGTTTTTCTCCTTTGAGGAAAATTAAGTGTCCCTAGGAAGTTCCGTAGTTGACGACTTTTAGCATCTCACTCTTTTTCATAATTTTGGGAAATAGTTTTCTCACTATTTTATGGTTGCAGTGGAATTTATTTATTCTTGTCCTTTCTCAGACATTTGGGAACCATACTATTTGAATAAATATGTCGGCACAATTCTTGAATCTTGATATATTGCAGGATTTCTTATATGAATGACAGGAAAACATTATTTACTTTGCTGATCAGGAAATTCAGAACTTAGTCTCCCCCCCCTTTTGGGGGGTATACTGGGGATTGAACTCACGACCTCACACTTGCCAGGCAGGCAGGCGCTTGTGCTGCTGAGCTAAATCCCCAGCCCTCCTTTCTTTTAAAAGGACTTTCCTTTTTAGTGATTCTATTTTTAGAGAACTTTTTAGGTTCAGGTAAAATTGGAATAAAATATCGACAGTTCTTGTATGACCTTGCCCTGTGCCCTGTCTCCTGTTGTGAACGTTGCCTACCAGTTGGTACAATTACGGCAATCGGGACCTACAGTGGCATATCACTATCACCCAAAGTTCAGGGTTGCATGAGTGTTCACTCAAATTGTGTGGGCCCTGTGGTTTAGACAGATGAACTGTATGTATCCATCATTATAGAATCACATAGAGTGATTTCATTGCCTTTAAAGTCCTCTGTGGTCCGTTTAGATATTTTAGAAAAACTACATCAAATCATTTAAATGAATGATTTCTACTTTATAAAATTTAAATAATAAAATGTGATAAGCATTGTGAGGCAGAAGCACATTAAGTTGATTTCTGTTTCTTAGTACTAATTAGTATGCTATTGCAGTGATTTTATTATTTATGAGTAAAATCTTGAGGGTATGTTGCCCTATTGAGGTCCTTTGGGCTTTGTGCTGGGGAAAACAGTTACATTTTTATCACTTGTTACCTCTATCAAGTGTTCCTCTGTTTTTCAGATCCTGTAGCATCTTGCATGTATATGTTGAGATACCTATAATTTTTCAGGAACTTTCTCTTTCCTACCTCTGTGGTATTTGAAGAAAATATTTTGTATTTTTCTTGGGTGTATAGGCTTCCCTGAAGTAATCAGAGAAATCTTTGACAAGATTTGTAAGTTTAGTATCTTTCCAACACTGGTGCTATGGATTCTTTGATTATTAGATCACCAAGAGAGATTACAATGATAAATTACTATGAGCCACAACATTAGATTGTTAAAAATGAAGGTGAAGTCTGGTCTGGACACTGGAAGTTTCCTCTATCTTTTGATCAAAATAGAGATTTTCTAGCTTGCTTTGGTTCAGTTTTTATGTTCCAGGAAGTCTTAGGGAGGAAGGCATGAGAGGATTTGTTATCAAAGTTCCTTATACTGCTGCCATGGCCTCTTGCTGTTATGAAGCAAGAAGAGAGGTCAGGCATTAACTTGAAGTCTCCTAGTTTTTGGACTTCTCCTGGTGTTGTGGAAGCCCAGGCTGGCCGCCCTAATAATACTTTGTTCCTGGAGGCCTTACATTGATGGAGACATCTGGGTCACTGCCCAGTCCCTGGAGCTTGGATCTCTAGTTGTGATGTTACCACCCTTTTGTCCCCTCATTTTGGATGACCATCTCTTCTTCCCTAATTGCTTTTCTCTAGATTGGCGTTTGGCTCCTTCGTCTTCTATCTTGTGTCCTTGGTACCTAACAGCCTTGGGGTTGCTAGAAACTGGGTCTGAGTGCTATCCCTGCTGACCCATCTTTGTCCAAATACTTTGGAGCATGGCCTCTCCCCCTGCAGTGCTCTGCTCTGCTCCAGCTGCAGCGTGGGTCCTTGCTCTGCTGTGAGATTGGGAAGTCCCAGGTGAAATACTGCGGAGACTCTTGGTTGCCTTTGCCTTCTGTTTTGGTGTATTTTAGGCCTGGATTTGTTAGCATTGGTTCCCAGGTCCCTGATTATGGACCTCTGCTCCTTTCCACCATTACAGCTGCCCAGCAGTTGTTTGCTTACTTTGCTCAGTGAGACCTCTGGATGGTGAGTTCCCATTTATTCCTGGGTTCTAACACTGAGCACTGTGTCGCCTGTGGTCTTCCTGGAGAACTAGTTTTCTGAGACCTGCTTAACTGATGTCTTTCTGTAAATTCTAAGTTAGGAAGTGAGCATTCTGCTTGTTTAGTGGCTAGTTGCCTATTGGTCACTTGGTTTGTAGGCTGCTCTGCCTCTCTCGTTAGGTGTTGGCATTCAGCACCAGGAATTAGATTCTTCTTCCACAGTAGAGGCTCTGACTCTTACAACACATCTTTCAACTGTACTTTTTGTCTCTTGTTAACAAGGAACACTTCTCACATCTGAGAAGGGTGATCAACTTTTTGGTAATCGTATTCTACATATTTGTATGCAGCTCCAATTTCCACATGCAAATTTAATTCTGAGGCTTTCTCTAGAATGATTTCTGCTTGTCTGTGTCAACAGAGCCTAGTTCCTTCAAATGAGAAAGTGTTTGTGGGTCTTTAAACCTATAGATTTTAGTTTTTTTATTGAAAATAAAATCACATTCTTTTAAACCTTTTGATAAGAGTGATAGTTGTAAAAAAAATGGAAATTTTATTGAAAAGATAAGTATAATTAAATAAATACATCATTCCTAATTTTACATAGTCAGGGTAGTACCTTATGATTGTTCTAGTATGTTTCCTTCTAGTTTTTATATGCGTGCGCAGGCATACATACATGTGCATATTTTTGCAGTACTAGCAATTAAATCCAGGGCTTTATGCATATTATATAAGTGTTCTGCCATTGAGCTGCAACCCTAATCCTTTAAGATTTTTATTTTGTGACAAGGTCTAACTAAATTGCCTAGGCTGGCCTTGAACTTGTAATCCTCCTGTCTTAACCACTCATGTAGCTAGGATTTCAGATGTGTACCCTGGCTTTGGTGTGTTTTTATGGTGTATAAATTTTATAATGAAAATCAATATGTCATACTAAGGCTTGAAGGGGGGCTTTTTCAGTGGCAGAGCATATACTTAGCACACCTGGGCTCTTCAACCCCAGCTGCTGAAGGAAAAGGAAAATAAACACCACCCTAAAAAACCATCATTTATCATACTATTTCCCTTTTGTTTTGTTGTTTTTTTAAAATTAGTTTATGTGTCTTTTTACCAGTTTAACTACTTTTAGGTATAATTAAGGGTATTAAGTTTATATACCATCTATATGTTTACTTTTTACTTTCTAAGAATCTTTACATTATGAACATTTCATTTTGTTAGGTATTATTCAAGAATTAGGGTTTTTGATGGCTGCAGTCTGCAGCTATGTCATTATCTCAGCAATCTTTTACTTTTGGTCTCATGGGCTTTTTAGCTGAAGGTGTGCAGTGAGCACTTTTGAACATGAATGGAAGCACCAATCCCTCCCTGCTGGAGGAAAGCTCCTACTGGTGGCATTACTGGTTCAGGGGCAGTGTGGTTTTGTACTATCTCTGGCTGGGGCAGTAGGTTTCTTACTTTCTCGTGCTTCATGCCCAATTGCTTTGAGCAAGTTGTCCTGACATATTGTCCCACCAGTTAGATGGAGCCATCTGACCTCTTTCTCTGCAACATGTTTCTCGTGGTTTCCCTTCTGTGTTCCTGTCTTCATTGTTCTTGGCCCTTCTTTGCTATTGTCCTGGTACCACCACTGCCTTCCCCTCCTCTTACTGTATCAACCGAAGCCCCCATGTCTCCTTGACCTTCCACATGGTGTGATCATGGTGGCTGTAGCTGCACTCTCCACTTCTGTCAGGTTGCCCCTCCTACCTGAGCATAGTTAGCTGGGCTGTTATTCTGGGCTTTTATGTTGGCTGTTATTTTGGGAAATCCCCTCCAGATTGTTTATTTTGTCCTTTGGCAGTGGGGGCCTGGGCACAGGCCTTCGTGCTGGCTGACGGAGCAGTGAGGAGTGTTCCGTAGACGGTGACTTCAGGACTTCCTCCAGAGCCTGGGATGAGTGGGCCTGAAGAGTCCACTGTTAGTTACTACTAGTAGGACAAATGCTGTTTTCAACATAGGGTGTTCAGGCAGAAGCTGCCTTTTTTCCTTACTTTCTTATTGTCTTCCTGCAAATGGTTACTGAGACTGCAAATATCCAAGAGTTGAGTCCTGGAGATTTGGCATGGGGGTCAGATGATTGAGGAGACACACAGACCACTGGTGTGAGAAGTTGTGTCACAGAAGAAAAGGGCTGTATGCACTCGTGTGGACCACCCAATGGGCTGGCATGCAATGGATGCTCAGTTAGGTTCACACTCACTTTGCCCTGACTATAGCTGGTTGAATAACTGCTGCTAATAAGAGCTGTGTATAGTGATTCTGTAGTGGTGGGAGGAACGTGGGCTTGGGTTTGTGGAAATCCTGGGAATGGGTGAGTGCTGGATTTAGTGCCAGTTGCCTGCAGTAGTGTTTGAGATTGGGAAATTCTTCAACCAGGTGAGTTGAGGTCTGACCATTTGTCTTTGAGAGGCCATTTCTTGATGTTCTAATGTTTATTTGGGATACTTTGGCCTGGATCTCTGAACACATTCATAGACTCTTTGGCTTATGGTCCTATTGGTTCCACCCCCATGCCAAATCTCCAGGACTGGAGTAGTGTGCCAGCTTCCCTCAGCACATACTCTGCATACACCTTGGACTCTACCATACCAAGCAGGAGACCCTGTATGGCTTTTTTCACCTTGCAGTCCACCACTCCTTTTGATGGGTGATAGTGCAAAAATGAAAATTGTCCCCATTTTCAATATGTGGTACTAGTCTCTAGTAAAGTTCATGCAAAGAGAAGAAAGCAGGTGCTCTTCAACCAAATATGGTTGCATGGATACACAAGAGGCAGAGCTTGTGTCCTGCACCTTCTAGAATTATTCTTGGGTTTTGTTGCTCTTGTCATTGCCAAGGGTAAAAAGAGTTTTGTTTAAAAAGTAAAAGTAACTCTGGGTTAATCCCTGGATGCCATCAAGTGGTAACTTCTAATCCAGACATGATGTAAAGCCTATCAGCCTTTCTTCTGATTTCAGTGAGCTTGGACTACGCAAGGGATGCATTTGTGAAAGCAGCTTAATTAAATGGAAAGAACCTGGGCACTAGAGACTTTGTTAGCATTGTGACTTTGGGCATGTTGTTTTAATTCTGCCTGTGACCTTGGTTTCCTCAGCTGGAGAGAGAGTAGGTTGCTGAGGGTCAGTGTTGAGTGACCCCCTGAATTGGCATTCACAGACATATGTGTGCATGGGATCTCTTGGAAAATTGTAGCCACATGCTTATTGTGCTGTTATTTGGTGGTGTTGTGTTATTATGAGTAGGGGAGCCACTTGCCACATGTGGCTACTTGAATTTAAATGAATGAAATAAAAGTAAAAATTCAATTCCTCCACCATGCTTGCTATTCTTTAGGTGACCACCACTGCAGAACATTTCCTTCATCACGGAATGGTGTATTAAACATCACAGCCCCAGAGTGACAACTGGATAATTGGCAAAGGAAATTATTCAGTGGAACTCTGCCATTTGAGCTCCATCCCATCGGGGCCAGCATGTTCAGATGACTTAATTTGTCTTTCAAACATGGACGCAATTTAGACTTGAACAGTAGAAAATTCCATCATGTGGCATATGCTATGGTTGGCCAGAAGATAATCTCATGTTCCTTGTTTTTTTTTGGTTGGTCTTCTGAGTATAGCACTTAAGTGAAAACAGTCTTTTTTCTTTCTTGTCCTTAGTGATGGATGTAACCGATATAATAAATGGAAAAGTAGATGATGAAGATAAGCAGCATTTCATTCCCTTTCAGCCGTAAGTATGGAGCAATACAAGTACTTAACTAGATATACTGTGGACATCCTCTGTTTGTAACAATTATCTTTGTAATTAAGTTTCTGCATTGAATCTAAGTTGGGATGGATTATTTCACAGTAGTGAAAAATCTGTTAAGTCACTGTCTTAGCCCATAGAGTTTGGTAGTTACATAAATTCAGGGTTAAAGTTTATTTATAATTGTGGGGGTAGATACTCACATGTGTTCACTGAATTACCTTAAAAGAAGAATAATTACAATTCTGCCTTGAGTGGGAATGTTTCTTTACATAATTCATTTATCCTAGTAACAATTTACCTTTTGAAAATATAATACTTGCAAAAATAGGTTGCTATTTTAGAAAATAGAAAATCAAAATAATGATGATTTTTTTTTTTTTTATAAAGCAAGAGATAATACTTTAAAGCATATATGCATGCTTCTGATTTTCCCATCTTGAGTTTTGCTCAGAGTGGACAGTATGTGTATTTTTTTTTTTTTTTAAAGTATTGCTCCTTCTGATGAGTCTTCAGAGAGGTTCAGGAAACATGGAAAGAAGTACTTGGGAAAGATGTACTAAACTGATTATCTGATTTGAACCTAGAACCTGTGGATTAAGTGGAAAGAATTGGTGTTTATTTCCTGGTGATTGAAGCAAGAGGGTTCCTCGATCGAGGTCTTTTGCCAGTTTAGGATCATTCCTATCTCGAGAAGAAGGAATTAGAATTTGAATGTTTTAGGTTAATGGCAAGAGACAACTTTCTCCCTAGGGTTGTGACATCTTGGAAGAAGAAATAGAGTGAGTTAGAGTGACCTGTCACAGTGCTCTGTGTTCTTTTTGCTTTTTATTTTGTTTTTGTAGCAGAGATTTCAGGCTTGAAACAAATTTTATTTTTAGAAAGTTTATGCCATTTTCAGGTTTTGGCTAAATGGCTTTGGGGACAGCATGTTCAGATGACTTAATTTGTCTTTCAAACATAGAAGTACTCTAGACTTGAACTGTAGAAAATTCCATCATGTGGCATATGCCATAGTGATTGTCCTAGAAACCCTGACTTTGGGAGAGTTCAGAAGATAGGAGATTGATTTACCCAATCTGTCTTCCGGAATGAATTATGCCATCAAGTGTCTCTTAACATGGACCAAGTGTGGCTTTCTTCAAAGCAAGATGATCTGTATAGACAGCCTCTTAAGGCTTTTTGTATAGCTCAGGAGAAAATTTTGCAGTCCTCTTGAAAGGAGAATAATAAAACTCTGCATTATCTAGCTTGAAGCTAGTTTGGAGCTGCATGTGTTTCACCTTAGAAACTGGAGGCAAAAGATGCTATGTCACTTACATGCTTACACTTTAATTTTCTGTCTGATATGGTAACCACTCATCCTGTGTTGGTAGTTTAAATTGACTAAAGTGAGAGAATTAAAAATTCAGCTCCTTAGTCATATCAACCCCACTTCAAGTGTTAGGACCCCGTGGGGCCAGAGGTTACCATATTGGACAGGGCATATTACATAGCAGATTTCCATCACTGCAGAAAGTTCTGATGGATAATGTTGCTGTGTACTGTCATCCAGTGAAGGCAGAGGACATTCTGTAGAATCTGGACATTATAAGGAGAGGACATTCTGTAGAATCTGGAAGCTCTCTCAGCAAATAAGGGGAAACTTCCATCATTTTGGAACCTGGACAAACACTGAAATAATAAATACAATATGCCTTTGTGAAATTGTAATACAAAGTTGCTTCTTTGGCCCATGAGAAATAATGCAGCCCTTCTGCTGTTTGGAATACTCTATTATATATTGGACTCTGAGTTTGTTGATGCCCTAATGTGCCACTAAGTTGAAATTGCCAGTTGCTTGCTAGTGTCTTCTATGAAAAAAATCAAGGAATAAAACCTTTGGGTGTTGAAGAGTTAAGGAATATATCAGTTGAAAAACACTGATTTTTCACTGATCATGTATTAAACCTTTTGAAATCACATGGTTGTTGCTACTGTCTTCTTGTACCTTGTAGTGAATATCCACTTTAAAAAATAGTATATGCTTATCTCTTATGTAATTTGTGACTTCTTGCTCTATTAAAGAAAGTCTAATATACAAATTAATATTTGCAATATTGGAAGCAAAAGAGCAGCATGATTTTATAGTAAAATAAGCAATGAAACCAGTTCTTTGGGAAATGTCATGCTAATGAAACCGTTTTTTGCTCCATTAAAACTGATTTATTATCTCACAGGCTTGGTTTAGGGGAGGAAGCATAGTGCACCTCTCTCTCTTTCTCTGTGTCTGTCTTTTTTTTTTTTAAACTTGGTGAAGTAAATTAAAATGGCCCTCAGCTCACTTGAGTTATGTGGCTCCAGTGATGGATAATTTCATTCCTGCTTCCAGAATTGATTTTAAATGTTATGGACATGATACATGTTTTCTTACCCATTTCCTGTTGAACTCTGTGGAGTGCCATGATACTCCTCTTGGCATGCATTGCCTGTTTGGCTTCTTGGTTCTGTGTAGTGCAGCCTCTATGAGCGGTTCCTGGATCATGACCCCTGAAAACACTGAAGATTTGCATTCCTGACCATGTCCTGATTTCAGGTTTCAGACCTGATAATTATTAGTTGTGTTCTCCAAAGATGGTCCCGCCCTCTCCCATGTAATCATTTGAGGCTCTTTTGAGTACACACTCTCATGGAACAGAGTAGAAAGCATCCCCAAACTATAAGGTTCAAGGGAGCTTCTTTTGGGAGGGGTAAGGAGCCTATAATTTGCTTTTTCTTCATGCTACTTGCTCCTTGACCTAAAACATGGTCAGAATTATTGACATGAGATTAATGGCCTCACATACTCTGGAATGGTAGGCCTTTCAGCCCCCTTCCTTTCCAACCAGTCCCTTGTTTAGTTGTTTATAGAACTGGAGTAGAACCTGGTGTACCTTCCTGGGAAGTGGGTCGCCCTTGTTTGCCTGACTTCTCCCTGGTGTTCAGCATTTTCCTGATTGATGCTTTTCCCTGTTTTTCTTGTTACCTATCCTGCCCTTTGTCGTGCGTTGACTCATGACGACTCTCTCCCAATGGTGATGATACTGTCTTGTGTTCCCTTGTTACTGTGACCCATGGGTCTTGTGCCTCTTTGTCTCCTGTGGTCTTGGTCGTCCCGTGCCCTCCAGGCTCGCATTGGACGACGCCATTCGACACAAGCCGCTGAACATGTCATCCCGTTTTTCACCCAGGGTGGCAGGGGAGAATGACTTCCTTCAGACTGTTATAAACAAAGTCATCGCTGCCAAAGAAGTCAACCACAAGGGCCAGGGTATGTATATTATTGTTCAGTTTTTCATCTATATCTGTTCACGTGAATGTGGGATAGTGCTCTCTGGCTTGCAGTTTAGCTTGATACTCATAGTGATGATGATGGTGATGACAACAGTGATAGTGCTGGAACGTGTGCATTGCTTGTCCCCGTGGCACAACATGTGCGGATTTTCTTACCTATCACCTCTGTAAGTGCTGCTGAGAGCCTCTTCTAGATGAGAAGGAGCCTTGTGGTATGTGACTGAGTATTTGGGATGAGCACAGTGCTGATAAAACCGGGACACAGCTCATACTGTGCTGCCTCTGTCTTCTCTAACCCTGTCCCCTCATCCTAACCCTGTTAAAAATGCTTGACTACAATCTCTGCCCTCTGGATATGGCTCTGCCTTACTGTACGGAAGAAGCAACTCCCCTTGTCCCACTGAGTATTCTTTTCCCTTTTGTCATCACCCGTGTCCTGGGCCAGCCACTTTGTTTGCTGGGTTTCCCTCTGTACCCCTGGGGAAGGTGGCTTCAGTTATGTAGACCATTCCCTTTCGTGTTCTATTATCAAAGTGATTTCTCCTCCTTCATTCCCCGTCTGGTGCGCATCATTTTTAATCCTGCACTGACACGTCCGAGCAGCCGACCTTCTGCCAGCAGGGCTAATGAATCAATCACCTCAGATTGGTGACAGTTGGCACTTGGGCTGCTCCTGGGCTGCCAGAAAGCAACTGTTTATGGAGGCCCCGCCTCCTGCCTGAGGGGAAGTCACCTTCAGAACGTCAGGTGTCTAACCCTGCCATTAACATTGGTGGGAAACAGCGCGCATCAGTCCTTGACCGCCTGTGGAAATGCTGCAAACTCCACAGAGCTTTGGAGCATGGGTCTATTGCAATGGACAGTCACCTGCAATCTCTGGACTTGCAACAGTGTTGAGTCGGAGGAATGTTCTGCAGAACTGAATCCTTCTTAGGGCTGTGCAGGTACCTTATCTGCTGTGAACAGTCCCCCTCCCTGGCCAATAATAGCAGAACATACCCCACCCAGAATGATGATGAACTGTACCCTCTGCAGACGGATTTTCAGCTGACCCAGGCACTTAAATCATAGCCATCTGCATCTGCGTGTTGAATGAAAATCACGGGGAGGTCCAAGCAGAGCTGTTTACACTAGAGCTGTTTTCAGGCTGACGCTAGTCTCTGCCTCTGGCTGTGCCTCAGTCCTGGAGCAGGGCCCTTGCATCACCAGTGCCCTTGCAAGTCATCTGTGCATGGTCAGCCTTTCTTAGAATCACACAGGAGAACTGTGGATTGGTGTCAGGCCTGCAGGAAACGGCTTAGAAAGCGGCCCAGAAATCTGCTGGGCTCATGGGTATCATAGGCAAAAACCGACTAAGCCAGGGAAGGATGGGGTCCATGTCCACATTGCCTTTAACCCTGGGAAGAAGTGGGGGGGGTTTTCAGATCTGTGATAACTGATAAGACAGGAATGTTGATTGCATTGCATTTGCAGGAAGCCCACCCAGTGCATTCCTGAGTCAAGATCCCCTGGGCTCCTCACTGGCTTAGCTTTGCCTCCAACATTATCCTTGCCCCTTGGTTTCCTATTAGGGTAAATCTAGGTCATTCCAGGAAGAATTAAGAGAGAGGTGGCCCAGGAAATGCCATACAGAATCTGCTGTTAGGTGTACCTGGGGTCTTGCTTAGTGAGGCTTCAGTTTCTCTATTGGAAGTGACCCAGGCTCAGCTTCACGCTGTTTGTCTATCAGACCATACTCAAATGCCCTGAGACCATATTCTTCTCATGTAATAGGTCTCACCTGAGCTCATTCTGTGCTTGGCCCATTCTGGTTACACTGACAAATTACCTGATCACCAATGTACCCAAATTATCCTGATCCCTGGACCCAGAAGTGCTACATGTTTTGTTCCCATGAAGCTACCAGGCCATCACATCAGATCCTGGACTCAGGCTATGGTCCTGCTGTCTCTCAAATGCAGTTCCTTGGAGTGGGCACAGGCCTGCAATTCCCTTGCCACTAATGAGGGCTCAGAGGAGTCCTGTGAGTTCCAGATGCAGATTTGAGTGTGTCCCTTCAGCTTGATCAGGACCCTGAGAACACTTCCTACTTGCACAAGTCTCTGAGGGACTGTGGATTTAGTGTTTGATTATTGCAGTGAAGTTAAGTCTGTGGTGGAATGTTTATTGTTTCCACCCTGTGTTTTAGCACCCTGTGAGTGCCTGGCACACAGTGCTTATTAGGTATTTCTGAATACATTGAGAGTCTCACTGGATGGCCAAGAAAAGGCACTTTCACTAGCTAACAAAAGACAAAATGTCAGTGACTTTTTAACTTTCTCAACCATTAATAATGTTGATCTTTTGATCTTTGTGAAGGGAAAAGACATTTCTAGGACATCTACTACAAGATAGGTAGCCTGAGGATAGAGCAAAGTGGGTGTGGGGTCAAAGCAGGCAGAACTGCTGTAGTGATGTCCTTTGTATGCACCATGGGACATTTCCTGGCACTGCTTAGAATGCAAGTTGCTTGTGGCCAAGGTCTGTGGTTTTCTCATTTTTCTCCTACCAAGTACAGGGTCCTGAGCTAAACAGTGATGAATGACTGGCCCTGTGTTTGTGGAAGTATCCAGGGAGGGAGCAGCTGTACATACAGATTTACATGCTGGCACAAAACAATTACAGATATATCTGGCTATAAATAGATATGGTGAAACAAGTATGGCTAATATGCAGACATATGCATAGACAGAAATACGTATTTTACACAGGCACATATGCACATGTGCACAGATATGCACAACACATATAGACACACACAGACACACTGATATCCAGCCATATATAGACACGAGTAGAGAAACACATATACACAAACATAGGTATGTGCATACACACAGATATGCACACCACACACAGACACATACAGACATGCATTGGTGTACACAGATACAAAGTAACACAGACACATATGAACACAGATACACTCAGGAGCACACACACACACGGCACACATACAGACCCACATATTGATGCTGTGACGGGCACCAGAACAGAGTAATTGGGGAACAGCAGCCTGGGCCACTCACCCACAGTCAGGGACTAAGCACCCTGACCTGCCAGCCTATGATGACACCTCTTCATTGATATGTGGGTGACAAGCACTGCCCTTGAAAATAATCTGCAGAGCTAAGCAGCTGCTTTGTCTCCTGCTTTTGGTGTTGCAAGTGTCTACTTTACTCCTTCTTGCTCCCTCTTATGTCAGGGCTTCTCAGGAGTATTTATTCAGGGCAGCTTTCCATTTGTCAGTCTGTCCACTTGGCAGACAGGAGAGCCCAGGTCATACTCTCTCCAGGACATCCTCTGTGTCTTGATTTAGAAGAAGGCAATCTCTTTTCCCCCTGGTTGGGAAGGGCTGAGTGTCAGGCAGAGCATTTGCTCCTCCTTTGCTTCGACAGTGTCACAGGGGATGGCTCTGCAGGCTGTGCTGTGCCAGGCTGCGTGGAGTTAGCCTGCTAGTGCCCTGAAACCCCGTGCTCTGTTACTCACCTGGGCAGTATAATGCTGCTTAGCAACCTGAGACTGCCCTGGGTTTAGGGAGCTGTGTATTTGCCTCTAGAGTCCTCCTGTTGTCATCCTTCGTGAGAGGCTGCAAAATGACAGCCTTCTCATTGCACTCCCAGATAAGGGCCACCTTTTCCTGTATCTTAAATGTATGTCAGTTCACAAGAGCTGCTTTTCCTTGGCACATGTGGGAAGTACTCACTTGCCCCTTGGATTGGCTCATCTGTCACTGCTTACCCCCACCGAGATTCATATTGCAGCTAACCAGGTGCAACTGTTCATTTGCTCAAATTTCTTAAAATGTTGAATTGTGAATGAGAAGTTGTTCATTTATCAAAATTGCTTCCATGAAAAAACTTCCTATTAAAATGTTTATTTTTTTAAATGTGACTTAGGTATTCATTGTTTCCCCAGGTTTGTGGGTAACATTGAAATTACTTCCTGGAGATATTCATCAGATTCGAAAAGAGTTTCCCCATTTGGTGGATAGGACCACAGCTGTGGCTCGCAAAACGGGGTTTCCAGAAATAATCATGCCAGGTAAGAACTGACTGGTTCTGGGCTGTGAAGCATGCGCTGATGTAGGCAGCCACTGAGATTAATGTGTGTAGAGTAACATGTGTGGCTTCTGGCAAGGAGAAGGGGCTGGGTGTGTGGTCCGTGACGTATGAACCCCAGGGTTATAGAGTACTTCAGTGGGCGAGGCTGCGCCTAGGCTGGTGGGATGTGCACGTTGCTCCCTGTAGAATCAGCTTTCCCTCTACTATCATGTGGTTAGAAATGGACACCTAACAAACATACAAGAAGACATCTGATCAAAAGAGAAAACAAGGGTTGGAAAGTGAGCTGTCCAACATGAAGCCTGCCATTGCGTAGTAGAAGTTGTGGAAGATAATGCTTTAAATGCTCATGCTTGGTATCTGCTCAGTTAGTTAGGTTACCAAACTAATGTTGCTCTGACCCAGTCACAGATTTTAAGCTGAGTAAACTGATCAGTGGAGTTCTTGTTAACAGTAATCTCTCATGTATAATACTTTCCAGTTTCCAAACAATATTCATATTAGTAATCCCACTTGATCCTTAAATATTGGGGAAGCTAGTTGCTATTTATTTATTTGCTATTTATCATTTGTACACTTTTTGGTTTGTGAGTAATGTTCACATTAAGACTAAGTTAGTCCACATAAGTCATCTCGGGAGCCTATAAGTTGGTATTGAACTGATTCCTATCAAAGTTAGCCCACAGCCTGAAGTCACACAGACAATGAATGGTAGAAATGGGCTACGCTACATTATTAGCCACAGTCACATACAGCCTTCTTTTGCAGGCCTCTGCTGTGGTTTGGTGGCGGGGGGGAGCACACTGGAAGACTCACTGGCCTTATTTTCTTGAAACTCTGAGACACTGGGGCTGTCATTCCTTTCTTTTTTCTGGGCTCTTGTGGGCTGTTGATTATTCTGCTGGTGAATGTGCACTAGCCTTACCTGAAAAGGAAACGAAGGCCAGCCCGCCCCAATGAGACTCTGGGGTGGCTGTTGCTGCTGCTGCATCTATCCAGCCAATTAATTTAAGCCTGTTAACGAAAGTGGACTAATTTGTGGATTTTTTTCTTCGCATTTGGACTTGAATTACAAATTTATAGATGAAGCAATTGACACTGTGCATTAATCTGTGTGCTTTAGGATGTCCTCAGATTCTAAGGGGAAACCTAGAAAACTTCTGTCACACTGATGGAGTTTCCTTTTCAATTGATGGCCTCAGTAAGCCAGAGACTATTCCATTATCCCATGATAGATTCCTAAAGAACATGTACAGCTGCACGTTGTTTGAAGGTTCCACGTGGTGAGAGCCAGCGGAAGGTCCCTAAAAGGGATTCTGGCTGCAGTGAGTCAGCGCCATTTTTGTTGTCTGTGTAGTTGGGCTGTGGGCACCATAACACAGCGTGGGTAGTTTCAACCCCTCAACGTTAGCCCAGCAGAACCTGTGCATTGCCCTGTTTTGTCAGCTGGCCTTTGGAGAGGTGCCTCTTCCTTAGACTGGGAAAGCCTGTCCTGTTACCTTCATGACTTTTGCCTTCTTATGATTCCCCACTGTTTTTCTGGAGTCTTTCTGAAGGATCAAGGCAGAAAGCACATTTCTCCTTCCAGTTAGAAAGGTGACTGGCGTCCTCTACATTTTCTCTAGTTCCTTCCAAAATGTGAGCCCTGCAACACAAGGAAGCATTTTCTGAGGGCCTTTTGTGAATACCCATCTTGGAGTTTTACCTTTTCTAAGTGAGGTCTTACTTTGGGAATGACCCCAGAGAACCGATCTCCAGGTGAATACAGGAGTGAGACAGTGTTATTGTCCTGAGCCCCTGTTACCTCACTGGTTGATGACATCTTTGGAAAACTTCTGTAACTATTTTGATTATAGTTTTTGCGCTTTCATAGATTTTTTCAGACTGAGATATCATAAAATCTATATGGCTGCCTTTCCGATGAGGGTGTTTAATGGTGGTGGCCCAAGAGGTTAATCCAAGGTGACACTGCTTAGTAGCAGGTCTTGGATGGGCAGCCTTGCCTCCCACTGCCATTCTTTTTCACTTCTCTGGCGGGGAGCATCTGTGGCTGCAACCACATGTCTCTCCAGCAGTCATTGCTGTGGGAGCAACCCACTGGGACTATTATAATAATGACTTTTAAATGAAAGTGTAATTTAATAGTTGGATACATTAAAAGCCAAAATAAAAAAAGAGTAAAAAAATAGAAAAGAAAGAAAACGATAAAATAAGAATACAACAGGAAGTGTTTTCTTTAAGCAGTCCCTGTCCTTTAGACAGACTGGACCCCTTTGCTGCTCTTAATGGACCATTTCTGGTCCCCTGTGCAGAACAGGATCAGGCACAGGAAGGGACCAGAGGCAGATGGCAGATGAGCAGTCATTGGCCCAGTGATGCTTCTTCTAAATCACACTGCTAACGAAGCTTGCGAAGTTTTCCCAATTGGACCATTACCAGGGGCTTCGTATGTTCTTAGTAGGAAGAAACGTCTTGAGTCCATTTGTTGTAAGTTTTTCTCTGCAATTAAAGGCCCATCTTACTTTAAAATGCACAGGTCTCTTTTGCAGTCATCTTTGTGTAGTCCTTATTTAGGATCTTGACAGCAGCTTGCCAGAAGAGAAGGGCTGTGCAGAAAATTTCTCTTATGACCCATCCCTTGGCCATGATCCTAAGTTTGTGGTTTTCATTCTTAATCGGTTTTCAGTTCAACTCCTGAATCATGCATTTTTGAAAGTTCCAGAGGAGGCTGACACTGCTTGTTATCTGCTTGGCTGTGCCACTTTGAGGTGTGATATTCCTTGCTCCTGAGAACTCAGGTGACCACAGCCAGTATGTGACAAGGGATGATAATGTAGGTCGAGATGGGCTGTGAACACAGCCCCTCAGTGGTATTGTGGCCACGTTGAGCCTTCACTGATCTCAGAGGTGCTTAGAAATCTTCTGCCCACCTGAGGAACAAGCAGATGACTAGAGGGTTTGAATGATTCCTACTATTGTACAAATCTGAGGCTGATGATACTTGCTTTTGTTATGTCTCTAAATGCTGAGACTTTTGTAGAAAATACTTCGTAAACATGAAATGTAGTACCCAATTTATAATATTCAGTAGAATAGCTAATATACTAGATCGTGTTTTGTAAAATTTATGGTTATACTGTTTGCAGTCTTGCTGTTTGTATTCCCACTTTATATGTTCCACTTTTGTATCTTGAACAACTGTTTGTAAAAGGATAGTATGTAAACGTTAACTAGTGATTTCTTACTGTTTATTTTTTCTCTGAATGTATGTATTATTTCTATCCATTTTCGGTTTTGCTTAGTCTTTCTTTAAATGAAATTTAAAAAAAAATTATGGTTATAGTATGAGTAACGAATACTTTAAAGGTATAATTTTTCCCCCAGGTGATGTTCGAAATGATATCTATGTCACATTAGTTCAAGGAGATTTTGATAAAGGAAGCAAGACCACGGCAAAGAACGTCGAGGTGACGGTGTCTGTCTATGATGAGGATGGGAAACGACTTGAGGTATTTCTTGTTACAGAGTTATTCTGTAGGGTTGTCCAGATATCCACTGTTACGGAATACGGAATATCCTACAGGGACTGGGTAATTCTGTTTGTTGGGCCAGGCATGGGGTTTGGCTTTTCTGCAGCTTGCCTTGGCATCTCCTGTGTTTTGGTAACCAGATTACCTCCTGGGGTTTTGACAGTGTTCTCTTTTTGTTTTGAGACAGAGTCTTGCTGTGTAGTTCAGGCTGGCCTTGAACTTGTGGGAAGCTTCCTGCCTCAGCCTCCCAGGTGCTAGAATCATGGGGATGTACCACTGTACCTAACTACCTAAAGTGGTTTTTCAGGGTTCTTGTCAGGGAGCCTCATTTACTGGGTTCCAGCATCTAGGGGTCTAGCAGTCCTATTGGAAGTACACAAAGCAGTGTCATCACCATTTTAAGAGTGGAGAAATTGAGACTGGAAGACATTAGCTATTTGTTCAGGATCAGAGAATGAGAGTGAAAAGTAGACCTGTCCCACCACCCCACCTCTGCCCTGTGGTAACCAGCATTTGTTTCCTTTATGGTCACAGCGGTCAGCAGGGTCCCTCCGGGTGGGCCCAGAGACTGTGACTTCCTCTGTGCATGAATCACCAAGCACAGCAGGTGTCCCTTGGGGTGTGTCTGTGTCCTGTGGCTGGAGAGCAACAACTTAGTTTGTGCCTGGTCTCAGCTGTGAGGGTTGTGCTCCCTTCCTTCTGGGGGGCCGTGTCCACTGTCACTGCCCAGTCTGTTTCCCTGGAAGTGGGGCAGTACTCTCTTTGCTTCTGGGGTTTGATCAGTGTGACTTTGCTTCTGACAGTTCCAGTGGCTGACAGCTCTCTATCCTTGTATTCTAGACCCATGGAGTGAATCAGGCCACTGTCTGCAGACCCTGATGTTAAAGTGCTTGGGGAGGAGCAAGGACAGTGTTATCCCCACTCTCATAATTGTCGCAGCTCCAGTGTCTGAGGCCAGAGGCATAGGCTGGCTGTTGTAACAGAGCCATCCTTCTGTCACTGGGAGAACATTACTGTCTCCTCCTCTGGTTCAGGGAGTGAGTGTGGTGGGAGATGGATGCTGTGTCACGTCCTATGAGGTCTTATGTGAACTCTTTATGTCTTCTTTTAAAGCATGTGCTTTTCCCGGGTGCTGGTGATGAGGCGATTTCAGAGTACAAATCTGTGATTTATTACCAAGTGAAACAGCCACGCTGGTTTGAGACCGTGAAGGTATTGTTTGCATAGCCATTTTATCACCTAGGGTTGATTATGAAATGCTCATTTGTTTCCTAAGGAAATCTCTACCTCTTAGCCAGCTCAGAGGGCTGCGTGCTGCTGGTGCCATGCGGGCAGAGTGGCCTCCTAACAGTCAAGTCAAGGTTGCTAAGGAACCACGTTGTCATTTCTTGGAATGCATTTACCCTCATCTCTTTTTGGACATAAAAATAGGACTTTCATGGAGGCAAATGACAGAGTCTTTTGAAGATAGTTATTGTCTTTCTTTTTCCACGTCTGTTTTATGTGTGACATGCTGCCTTACACTAAATGGGAAAAATGGGCATTTCAGTCTATGGAGCTTATTGCTGGGGGCATGGATGCTATGTGTAGGGCATCGATACTGTGCATTTCCATAGTACAGCAGGCTCACAGCTCCCATCAGCCCACTACCAACAGTTTGAATATTGGAAAAGTAGCCCAGGGGTTGTTCTGGAATAACAGAAGTTAGAAGTGAGAATTAGGGAAAATCTTTGCATGTATGAGGTCTCTTTCTTTTAAGATACTGTGACAACAAGACTTTCTTGGTGCAACTCTGTTGGGTGTATAGACACCTTTGTGTTAGCCCTAAAAAGGAAGACAGGCACTTTTAAAACAGAATTTTACAGTAAAAATTAGAACATTATAAAACAAAAGTCCAGCTGTCTAGTCAAGTTATTTTTGTGTCCTTTTAATTGAATTTCAAAAGACATTTTGCCTTTGGAAAAAACATGGAGAGGATTAGATATACAGTATTTCCACTACTGCAGCATAGAAATATTTACAGTTGTACGTGAGGAAAGCTGTTCCTGTGAGAAGGTGTTAGGCACAGTGCTGTACCTTTTTTTTTGGTTCTTCCAGGTGGCCATCCCCATCGAGGATGTTAACCGCAGTCACCTCCGGTTCACCTTCCGCCACAGATCGTCGCAGGACTGTGAGTAATGAAACACTTTTTCCCATGTGGTTTCTTCAAGTGAGAAAACTAATGAAAGGCTCAGGAGGCCACTCTGTTCTGGATCACTTCAGGGCTCTCTGTTGCCCACAGTGAGCTCTCAAGATCTCTGCACCTGGCCCTTTCTACCTTTACCCAATCCTGGAAATGTCATCAGACAGGTCTTGGGAGGGCTTCCTTTTTTTTTCTTGCCCTCCTCTGATAAGGTGCCACTGCTTCATATTCTTCTTTTGCCTTCCACTTTTTTTCTTTTCATACAGGAGATGAAAGCTGGATCCTGGCATATGCTAGGCAGGTGCTTTTCATCTACTGAGTACATTCTCCCCAGATGTGTCTTTTTTAATGACTTATACTATTCTGTCCATCAGAAAAGTTGTTGAGAAATAACCAGTTTATTTTTAAATTTGCACTGGAGACCTTGAAAGTTTTCTGCTTTGCTTAGTGGCCATGGAGCCGGAAGCTTGAACAGAGCTTTCCTCTGGATGTTGGTACGTGATTGACTATGATGGCAAAAGTTGAGGAAGAAACTGGTGTTTTAAATCACTTATCTTTGAAACAGAACTTGTTGTTGATTAACTTTGTCCCATCACGTTTGTTGAATGAATTGCTTGATCAGGGTGTAGCCTTATGCTAGACATGAGGGTAGTACAGATAGAAGACATAATTTGTGTCTTTATTGATCTGTCTCCTTTTGGCAGTGGCTCATATTTGGGAAAATAAGTGACAGTAAGAGCTGGCTACAGTTGTGTGTGTTATAGGGAATCGTTAATAAATGTTGGCTTGTGTAGTTGTACGTGTCCCTGATGACACAGTAGGGGTCACGAGTGGGTAGTCAGTCTTTGGCTCTGTGTCTCCCCTCAAGGATGCCTAAAAGTAAGATTTTTCTAATCATCTCTTAAAGGTATGAATATGTTCTCCCTCTGAAACACAGTACCTGGCTCAGTAGAAGCCTATTGCCTTGTTGAGGTGCCCATCTTCTGTTTCCAGGGTCCTGGGCCCTCCATATGGTGTGCTTTTTCTGGAGAGGGGTACAAGAGAGCAGTCTGGGAGTGAACCTGAGCAAGTGTGGTATTGAGAGCATGTCAACTGTTATAGAGCCTCATAGAAGCCTGGAACTGCTGTTTCTCAGAAGAGCGGGAGGGGCTGTGTATGAGGTCTGCAGAGCCCGGTGCCCCCTGTGATCAGCTGGGAGATGTGTACATACGTGCTAAGGCCAGGAGGCAATGAAGCAAGAGTTCTAGGGCCCAGGGTGGCGGGATGTGTGTATGTGTAGAGGGAGATGAAGAGTGGCAGCCCTCTGAATCATCTTTCCCTGCCTCATCTCATTGCAGCAGTGTGAGCAGGTCAGGGATCCAGTTAAAAAGGCATTAGGGGTCACTTGAAGTGGGAGGAAAAGGGTGTAAAGACTAGCTGCATGAGCAGGTGGTGCCCCACCGTTGCGTATTCATCTTAGGGCCAAGTTCAGGCACCAGCTGCAGATCAGGATCTGTTCAATACACGTGGCATCCTTGATGGCTGAGGCTGCAGGATAATAGTAACTGTCCACAAATACTAGCTAATGTTCCCAGTGTTCTTGTGTGCCTGACAGGAAAATTTTGCTGTATTACTTGGATTCAGCCTGGCACGAGCAGCCTGCATGGTATTGCTGTTATTAGCATGTCTTCTTGTGTTACATGAGAAACTGGCACTAAGAGACCCCATGTCAGTGGCTTGAAATAGTGGTGCTTTGGTATAGACCTGGAGGCCTGTGCTTGAGCCTAATAATCCAGTGTCTTGGGAAATGACATGGCCACTTTTTTTACCTGACTTTCTTTAGCACTTGTTATGTACACAACAAGTGACTCGGTCCATTTCTTTTGCAGAGTTGAGGGCTGAGTGGAGGTATGAGGTTAGTTTGTAGCAATCAAGGAGGAAGTGACAGCCAAGCGTTTGACTTGAAGTGGGCAGAAATGGAGTGTGAGTAGATTGGGGTCAGGTGAATGGGGTGCCTCAGGACACAGGTGTGTTCTCAGCCAAGGTATGGGGGAGAGGTGGTTTTCACAGGATATACAACTTGGGCAAGGTGGGAAGGCTACTCTGATTGAGCTCAGGCTCCTGTGCATACCTCACCCTGAGACAGTGGGAGAGGAGGGACTCCCAGGTCCAGCGAGGAAGGAGGGAGGGGACAAAGTTCAAGAGTCTCAAGAAGATTGTCAAAATCATATGCTCTCTTTCTAGCAAGCTCATTTTCTGTAATTAATAAATTACTCTGGGGCAGAGGGATATCTTCTCTAGCATTTTAATTTCCAAAATCCTTGTTTTTCTTGTCAGTTTTAAGTGCTCATTATAGACAAGATGCTATCACCCAACATACCAAGGCATATTTGCATAATTAATGAAGTCTCCAAGGCCACAGCTTGTGGGGGTTTGGAAACATGCTGAGCATGGCAAATGTGATGCTGACAATGAGGTCTTGGGATTGCTGGTAGTGTTTGAGGGCCTCTCCAGCCAGGCCTGTGTGCAGCTAGTCTGGGCTGGGGACTGTGGGAAAGCACTGAAGCCATATTGGCTTCCAGTAGCCAAATCCAAGTTTCTTTTTTCCAAGCAAAAGCCAGCTAAGGGAAGGAGTGAGGGGATTTCTCACACCCTAGTCTGTTATTGGGTAGGAGAATTCGGTGCTGATGTGGTGACATGATACCTACCAGCTGGCACCTTGGTGGCAATCTAGATGCAGCAGTTCCTGTGTTATGTGAACGTCAGTAGACTCCAGTTCTGGTTTTGGTCTGGAACTGAGTCTCCATAGATGGCAGTGGGCTTAGCTGGGTGGACCCTGGGGAATGGACAGCCCTGGCCGTTCTTCCAGAATGCCATGGTTTGTAGACAAACTATCTGCCTGTAGTGACCACTAGGAAGGCTGTGATGTAGAGATGCAGAATGTCAACAAGAGGTGCCCTTTTCTTAACGTTGCTTCATAGCAGGCTCAGTGGAAGTCATCTTCTAATAGGTGCCAACCTGTGTCTTCCAGATGCAGGCTTCTTTCAGGAGTGCCTTCTTTCAGGGGTGTCTTCAAGTCAACACAAGTTTAAGAGAGGTGTTCTTTGCCATTTGTGCACTGAAACAGTGTATTTGTTTTGGTACCCTTCTATTTTTTAGATTTCTGGTTGCATATATTATTTATTTAGTATTTAGTATTAAGGATTGAACACGGAGCCTCTGCTACTAAGCTACATTCCCTAATCATATATTTTATTTCTATCCTCTCTTGATTTTTGTTTGGTTGATCAAATATTCAACTAATTAATTAGCTGGCATTTATCGAGCACCTACTATTTCCTTGAACTACAGTGGAAAGATAGATGAGGTATGGCATCTTATGCAGTAGGGTCTTAGAATGATTATTTTGAATTCTTGACAGAGCGTGGTTGCATGGTTCTTCCTTGTCTGACCTCAGTCCTTTCATTGCTAAGCAATGAAGGAACTGAATGTAAATACTTTAAAATGAATATATACTTAAAATGTATTTTTTTTAGCTCCAAAATTAAATGCTTCTGGGCTGGACTTAGGTGGAAGTTAAGGAAATGGTGGCAAACAATTTCTTCAGTCCAGTTTTTTTTTTTTTTTTTTTTTTCTGTCCCCACCTGCTTAGCTGTCACTGCCTCATTCAGTAGCCATGTTTCTATCCTCAGATAAGCTGCCCTCTTGCCCACCCCCAGTTAGGACTATCTATCTCTCTTCCTGGAACATTTACATCTTAGCTCATGTGACATTTGCTTTCTCAAACAGAGCACCCTCTAAAGAGGGTGCACTCTACTGCATAAGATGCCATACCTCATCTATCTTTCCATTGTAGTTCAAGGAAATAGTAGGTGCTCGATAAATGCCAGCTAATTAATTGGTTGAATAATTGATCAACCAAACAAAAATCAAGAGAGGATAGAAATAAAATATATGATTAGGGAATGTAGCTTAGTAGCAGAGGCTCCGTGTTCAATCCTTAATACTAAATACTAAGTAAATAATATATGCAACCAGAAATCTAAAAAATAGAAGGGCATAGAAGGGTACCAAAACAAAACATCATTTTGTTTTCTTTATGACCTCAGGGAATGTATTTTGTTCTTAACCCTTTCCCTAACTAGCCTGAATATTTGTTTGTTCATGGCCCTGAAATTACTACATTGCCCAGCTGGCCTCGAACTCAGGTCTTTTTGCTTCAGCCTCCTCATTGCTGGGGTTACAGGCGTGAGCCATTGTGCAGAGCCACAAGTAGCCGTTGCATGTTAGGTACAGTTTATACACTGGAAAATAGCAGTAAAAAATTGTGGGCCAGATCCTCCTTCTCTTCTACAGTACAACCAGTTTCTCTCTCTTTCTCTCTCTCTCACACACACTCACACATACACACACACATGCACGCACACACACAGATACACACACCTGTCAGTGATAAGGATTTTAAAGAAAAGTCAGTCATGTGAGAGGAAAAGGTCTGACGTGCTGCTAATGTAATGTTTTAGTTGTGGTATGAAGGAAGGTCATGAGCCTTGAATTATAGATCCTGGAAGATGAACTTCCTTGCTAAAGGAAAGAAAATTTCACAGTCAAATCTTTTGTCCATCTGTGATTTATATGCAGTGTGGGGTCGGAATGTATTTTCTTTTACTATTTTGTGAACAGTTTTCCTTCCTTGCATCTGTCACTTCCCATGGCACTGGGTCTCTAGGTGCTGTTTGTCCCTCTGCTGTGTGTGTCTGTTAAAGCCACACTGTCTTAATTATTGCCACTTCATATTTACTCTTGGATTCTGGTATTGTGTGCTTCCTTGCCCCTTCTTCTGCAAAATCTCCTTCATCGTATTCTGGAATCAGTATTGAAGGTTCAAGGACAACCTCTTCCATGAGATTTGCACTGGGATTGCTTTGAGTTTATGGATTAATTTGTGTGTAGCAGGTCTTGCAATAAAAGTCTTTCTGTTGGTGATTGTGGTCCACTTCTCCATATCTTTCACCTGAATATAACATGTCAACACAATTTCATAATATTTTTCATAAATCTTTCGTAGCATTTTGAAATGCTATTTTGTTTTGACCATAGTTATAGGTGATTATTGATTTTTTATTACAGCTAAGGATAAATCTGAAAAAATATTTGCACTCGCATTTGTGAAGCTAATGAGGTACGATGGGACGACTCTGAGAGATGGAGAACACGATCTGATTGTCTACAAGGTATGTGTGTCGCTCTTGTGATACTGTGGACATTGACTATTTCAAACCCTTCTGGGCTTCTTGACTGAGCTGCCATTTCCCATGATTGTGAGGAAGTGGCTTGGTAGCTACATTTAAGTATGTAAATGAGGATTTATGATGACCAGCCTTTTTGTTGTCCCTTGTGAGATGATAGGCAATAGCATTTTATTTGCTATATGAAAAGCTGTAAATAGGAGCGAATCTTTAGGAATAAGGGTAGTCATTAAAATACATCACAAAGTAAAAATAAAAAACAAATATGATGGTCAAAAGGAGTATGAATAACAAGTCGTGGAAAAAGGATGTGACTGTTTGTGATGCTCTTTGATATACTGCATAACCAAACCCACAGGCTGAAGCCAAGAAGCTGGAAGATGCAACCACGTACTTGAGTCTGCCTTCAACAAAAGCCGAGTTGGAAGAAAAAGGCCACTCAGCCACAGGCAAGAGCATGCATAGTCTTGGAAGCTGCACCATCAGCAAAGACTCCTTCCAGATATCAACGCTGGTGTGCTCCACCAAACTGACCCAGAACGGTGAGTTTAGAGTAGAAACACGCTCACCTTTGCAGTTCTACCTCAGTTCTACCTTTTCAAGTTGCTTTTGATTGCGGTGGGAGAATTTTCTGTAGGTGCGTGTGCTTCATCTGCTGTGTCCCTCAGTAATGACTTGGACTGATACATTAGGGAGAAGGAGGTGGGATCCATCATAATTTACAGTTCATTCTTCTGTTTGGTCTAAGGGTTAATTTTACAGGGAGACAAAACAGTAAAGACTCCTTCAGTTGCTTTATGACCAGAGGAATTGGTGTGACATAAGGGAAAATGCATGGAATTTGGAGTCTGTAATAATGACCTGGGATTGAACTCTGACCTTTTGTGAACCCTGGAAATGACCTTAAAAGAGAGTCCTCTGAACGTTATTTTCCTCATCTTGACTTGCCAGCTTCCACAGCTTTCCAAGTGTAGGATGTGAAACATTATCTCTTTGTGTCTTCTTCTCCTGTCTCAACTTCTTATGGAGATAATTGTCACCTACCTTTCTTTTGAAAGGTCGGTTTGCATGATATTTTCTAGGCCCCGTGGCAGTGTGAGATAAGACACCATCTGCTGACTCACGCAGACAAAGTTTAGACTAGCCTAGTAGATCACTCATTATCTGCGCCTGGTCCTGCCCTGGCTGTGGTGGGCGGGCTGCTCATTTACCATTACTTGCAACCTCCAGAGTGACATGATCCACCTACACTTCTTTTTATTCAGGGCACACAGGTATTATTGCTGTCACTCCATCTGAAGGAGACAGTGTCTCCTCTGCACAAATCTTTCATTTAAAAACCGTATCCTCCTAATGTGACCATATCACAGCTGTGCAGAGTGACTTTATATTCTCTTGAAACGGAGCTTGAAAATCCAGTTTTTTCTTCCTAACTACCTGATATGGATTGTGATTATTAATGCCTGTCACTATCAAGCATTGCATCTTGGAGGGTTGCCTGCCAGTTATGAAGGTAGTTTTGGGTTGGCCAAGGGATAAGCATCCTTTAGGCTTTGACAGTATAAACAGAGAATGAAAGGAAGCTCATCATTTGGAAGCCTTCACAATACAGTTGAAGTGTTGGGTGTCCCTCAGGTTTGGGCATGTCAACTCAGTGTCATATGTTTTTCAAACTTTCTGAGCCAGCCAGGGTTTTTTCTCTCTTGTTCACAGATATACAAGATAAGAATACTTTCTTGTCACTGACCTTGTACATAAACTGCTTCATGTGTGGGGCATTTAAGTCCCTCAGATGCTTTAAGGTCATTTAGAGTTAGGTGGGTACAAATGCTTTAAGGCCATTTATATACATTTCTGTCCTGTTAGCTTTGTTAGCATGTTTTGCCTGGAGCATCTGTGAAGTGTGCTAGCTTGTAGCTGTGTTGTAATCCCCATGAGCACAGGAAAAGCCTTCCCTGGGGACCTGGATCTGTGTAAGTTGTGGGAGAGGGATGGAGATTACACAGGGAACTTGGAAATTTGTCGCTTAGGGAATGGGTCATCAGTGGTGCAGCCCGTAGCTTGGGACTGGGTTATAGAAGGCACGTCACAAATGTTACTTTCTGCTTGGAGCCCTGGTAGTTTCCATGTGCCTGACATAGTGCAGCTTTGGGCCTCATTTCACCAGGAAAGGGTGACATCTCCAGATGGGTTGGCATCTCAGATATGTGGGATTTTGTTTTTCAATAGCTGCTGAACAAATGCATTGTTTCTGTTTCCATTATGTAGGAGGTCATAGGCTTGCACATGGGTCATGTGCCCAAAGCATACTTTGATATCATTATCTGGAACTTGAGCCTACTTCCCCTTTAAAAACACAGTGTCTGAATAGCACATATGACCCACATATCCCTGGAAAGAGAATTAAACCAGGAATGACCCCAGATGGTATTGATCTTCCTCTCATTTTCTAGCTCCTAGAACCTCATTGATCCCTGGGTGATTCCTCGCTAGAACCCTGGGGAAGAGCACCCTGGTTTCAGCAGCAGCTGTTGCCGGGCAACAAGGAAATTCTAATGTGTTGCACCTCTTTAGACCACAGGAGGAAATTGCTAGGCTTTCATTTGATACCAGTAGTGCTGCCCCTTTTGGGGCTGGTCGCATGTTAGGTTACAAGACACAGCTGTCTCATTGGAATTAAATGATTGAGTACCACATTCTCATTTGAAAGAGTCATTTTTCCAAAATCATGATTTGCTACGGCAAAGTTGCATTACTTAGTGAAAAGTGGTGGCTGAATTATTCATTGAGGTTTGTATTAAATATTTCTGCCCTGAGCATCATGCTGGATGCCATGGGGTATATGATATGTGATTCCTCTTTTCATTTAGCTCACCATAGAATGAGAGGGAAAGGGGTCCTGAAATAGAAAATAATCACGGTCCTGATAAGTCCCCAGGAATAAGGAGAGAGCTTGTCTGACGTGGCTGGCCCTGTAGGGCTAGACAAACAGTTTTCTTCAAACACACTCCTCCTTCTCCAGGGTGTTCTACTAATCTGCCCAGCTGAACTTTGACTCAAATTTTCAATATACAGCTAAATTTTAGCTCAGTCATACCTTAGTGCTACCAACTTTGCCTGAATGGAATCCTGATTATGAGTTGATCTCCATCTAAGAAGCACTGAAGGCTGAGGCTGTAGCTCAGTGGTGGAGCACTTGCTTCACTTACTCAGGGGCCTGGACTCAATCCTCTCTACCACGGCAAAGGGAAGAAAAATTACAACTTAAAAGTTGAAAGCTCTGTTAGTCTCTTGGGATGAAGAGGCTGTTGGAAAAGGATGTGACCTTTCTCAGTATTTTACTTTCATTTAGAAATTAAAACATGTCACACTTAATAAGTGCATTTTTAAATTTTAGATTACCTCTCTGAATAGATTAATTTGTTAATATTTTGGGCTAGGGATTGTGCTGTGTTCCCTCAGATATACAACATTATGCCCGTTGTTTAGATGAGAAAACTGAGGTGAAATTAGCTTGCAGAAGGTATTATAGTTGCTGTGTGACTCAGCTGGCATTTTACTCACACTTCAAGTATTCCATAGTACTTGTGAGTGCTGCTCCCTCTTTGTTTTATCAGTCATATTTGGGTGAGGTCAAATTAATGAAAATGTCACATATTCAGGTGTTCACTACACATGTTCCTTTTGTATGGTTTGATCCTGAGATTGTAGTGGGTGTCTCTGTCCATTGAAATCCTACGACAGCCATGGTAATATTTTTCTTTTCAGCGGTAACTAAGGGTGGTGCTGTTTTAATGGTGATAATTTCTGTAGCTGAAATTAGTTCCAGGTGAATTTAAATAGCAGATTAGATGCACTTTGCTAATGGCATTTTTCAAATAATGGGATATTAATATAATTTCAAGGGAAAATGTGTAGGCACATGTATGCTCCTAGAGAGAGCTTGGGTTCTGTCTTCCCACTTTAAAAAACATCTTTATGTCTTTAACAAAAATCCTTCAAATTATTAAAAAATGCCTTAAGCCTTTAAAACCTAGTATGTTTGATCTTCCGTTTTTCTGTTAAAAAAAAAAATTCAGCAAACAAAAACAAGCACAAGAACTATCAACAGCCGGAGGAGGGAAGCAGGTAGCTCCGTACAAGCAGGGTCACAGTTGTGCAAGGTGATTGTGACTCCGAGGGCTGCCATAGCACACTCACGTGGCAGTTTCAGTACTTGAATTTATGTTAATTGATGCATGTTATTTTATATAAAAAAGGAGACTCATTTTTGGACTTGAAAAACTCACCTCATAGAAGGTGCTAGGGTGGCACGTTGTGGGAGGATGGCCATCTTTTAGTTCTCTGGGTGTCAGCATCTGCTTCTGGTAGATGGGAAGACCAGCCTTTTTTTTAAGGTACCCAGATGGAGTTTTAAAGCTTCTACATGAAAGTCATTTCATGGTAAATGTAGTTGAGGATCATGAATTCAACCACAATAAATGCTAAGTATGTTGCCACCAAGTAATTAAATATTTAACAGGTGAACTTTTGAAAAAGCGTTGATTTTTCATTTCAGAAAACTTACAGTGAAGCTCACATAATGTATGAATAAAAGAGTGCTCTTGTTGGGGGAGGATCTGACCGTGTTCTGTTTGCAGTGGACCTGCTGGGGCTTCTGAAGTGGCGATCTAACACCAGCTTGTTGCAGCCAAACCTGAGGCAGCTGATGAAAGTTGATGGAGGAGAAGTGGTGAAGGTAACAGACCTCTGAGGGACACTCTGTCTTGTCTTGTCCTGTTGTGCCCTGTCCTTTTCCCTCTGCTCCTCTCCTCTTTTCTCTTACTTCTTTTCTTATAGTTATTGACAGATGCAGGCACTGACCCTAAAGTACAGGTTTCTAGTTCTGCTGCCTTTGGCACATCGTGACATGCAACTCTAAATGAATAGAGTATCACTGGGTTGTGGTCTGGAGGGCCATCTCGTTGGCTGCAGAGAAGCGGACTTTGGAGCTAACGTGGTCTCGAATTGTATTTCCTCATCTGATGGGTCCTTGCTGCAGCAGTCACAACAGCTAAATGGGCCTCACTTTTTTCCCATTGAAAGAAGAAGGCAGCACTCAGTGCCTTTGTCACAGGTTGCTGTCAGGGCTGGAGGAGATGTGAGTCTCGGATCTGGCATGTGGAAGATGTCCTGTGTATGGCAGGCTGGCTGACTGGTGATCATTGGTCTTACCCTCATCCTTATCATCAGCCGTGGCTTGTGACTCAGTAAGAGCCTTGGAGAGCTGTGTGTGTGGTAGCAGTGTCACAGCACCGAGAGTCTTGTCGTGGTCACTTTTTTCCTATATGATTTTGAATGTATTTTGTAGGCACCCACATGGGCTCTGTGGACATGTCAGCTGATACTAGCCCTTTTTGCTTAGCACCCACTAAGAGACTGGGCAGTGAGACTAGGACGATCTGAGATCCCTTGGGGCACGAAGGTTCTGCAATTCTGTGTTCTTTCATTTTTTGTTTTATGTTTTTCCCCTAGCATTGGGCTCTCCTTTTTCCTTATGGATCATACAGTGTGCTTTATTGATTTTCCTTGTACATAGGGACATGCATGATGATTGTCACTGTATTTCATGTGCATGCACCAGGGACACTAAGCAGGCCACTGTCATGCAGTGCTTTATAAGCAAGATCTCTGCAGCCTGATTTGTATGGTGCCTGTGCACATCCTCACCTTCTGTGAGAAGTACTTGCAAAAAGAGACTGCCTTATCTCTGTAAAATTAATTACTTAAAATGGCTGTAATTAACCAGCAATGTACTTAACTTCAGTGTGAATTAATTTAGTTGCACTACTTTCCTAAATTCGTTATATAACCATTCAAACATATCCTCACTCATCTTAAAATTTTAATCATCTTTTCAGTCCTGGTCTTCTACAAATGACTTAGATAGTGTTAATTGCCTTTACACTTCACAGGATTTCTGGAAATTCCCCAGTTCAGATGAAAACTGGATGAATAAATGAACATACTTTAGAAGATACACAGTTAATGAAATTTTGTGCTTTTTCATTTTAAGGTCCTTGTGTCACATGAGGAATTGGTTGTATTTATGTTGACCTGCTGTCACATGTACCATGAAAAATCTGGAACCATCTTGTCTCTTCTCCATTTTCCTACAGAATATGTTATCACCTCCCATAATTCATCCCTCAAAGTAGTTTTCTCAACTCTGCCTTGTTCTCATGTGCACTGGTACCACTCATGCAAGGGTAACCTTCTGCTCTTACCTAGCCACACTGACTTTATCCTTCCTTTTTGCCTGTCTACCTGTGTGCCTAGAGAGGTGAACTGATTGTTTCAGTACACAGTTGGTAATGGGCAAGCAGGATGTGAGAAATTCCCAGGTGGGGCAGGGTTCCTATTAATTTATTTAGGGACACTGCTTGATTGTGGTTTTAATTCTTTTTTATTCAAGATCTTTCTTCTGTATAACAAGTAATAGAGAGTTGGCATTGGTTGATAGATTGAGGAAGATCTTTTACATATTTAATAATAGGAACTGTTTTCCACTGAAATGGAGAATGAAGATAGAGATTTTCATCCTACATTGGATGTTCTCAGAGAGAGGGTTGTATATCCAGGGAAGCACTTCTGTGGCTCTGTTTGGGGATAGTGGGCAGGTGGTTGTCCCTGACTCAGCTCTGAGATTCTAGTTCTCTCCACTTTTGCTTCTGGACTACTGACCATGTCATTGGTCTGGGTGGGCCTGGTAGGCCTCCTTCAGGGACTTTGCATAAATTATGATGAGCCAAGGCTTGGCATGTGGGGAGTCTGCTGGCAAGAAGAGTGGGCTGTTAAGCAGATGGTGTCATGTTTTGACCTTTGAAAGATTCACAATCTGAAAATGATGGAGAAAGCTAAACAAGTAACAAGGTGATGAAAAACCAAATAAGCAGAGCTTGTTAAACCCTCTTGTCTAGACTAGACTGCTTGTTAGTCAGGGCAGATTTAATTCCCTGCCAGTTGTATGTGGCATTTTCTTAAAGAAACTAGGGGTGTGCAGCATAGGTGGGGTATAATGAGGACTTGTGCCTTGGAGAGTCACCTCGTCCTGCTAGTTTGGGAGAGCTGTAAGGTTCCACAGTACAATGGTGGGCATGTGGACTCAGAGCTGGTCTGCAAGCATCATTCCTTTGGTTTTGTTTCTCAGTTGTAGGGCTGTGGCACGTAGTATGGTGTGGAACGTCCTTTGGTGTTATGCACAGACTAAAATGTCCAGGAAAACTCTCAACTGCGCATCTTATTTTGATGTTCTTGCTAGGTTGCCACCTCACCCATTCCCCGCTTTTAAAAATAATAGCTTCACTGAGATGCAATTGATATACTCCTAAAATTCATACTTCATACTGTTGTGTTCTACTTGTGTAATTATAACTACTGCCTAGCTAATACTTGTATCACCCTAAAAAGAAACCTCATATTAACGTCATTTCCCACTTTTCCTGCAAGGAATAATCTACCTTCTCAAGATTTGATTATTGTGGTAATTTCATGTACTGTGGAGTTGGACAAAATGTTTTTTTTTTTTTTTTTTTTTTGAGGTCTGGTTTCTTTTTTTGCCTGTGATATTTTCTAGATTCATCCATGCTGTAGCATGTGTAAGGTCTGCATCCCTTCTTATGACTGAGCAACATTCCATTTATGGGTAGACCACGTTTATATATCCATTCATCAGTTGAAGGATATTTTGTTGTTTCTACTTTTTCTGGTTGTATTTATTTATTTATGAGAAGTTAGGGATAATGTTGCGTTGCATATTTGTATATAGGATTTCATGTGAACATAGGTTTTCTTTTCTCTTGAGTATATACCTAGGAGTGAAATTGTTGATTCATATGGCAAAGCTAGGTTTAACCTTTTGAGAAATTGTCGCACTGTTTTCCAAAGCTGTCGCACTGTTTTGTGTTTCTACTAGCAATGAATTCACAGGGGACTCCAATTTTTCCACATCCTTTTCCACGCTTATTCTAATCCATCTGTCTGATTATAGCCATTACAGTGGGTGTAAAGTAGTGTTCATTATAGATTCAGTTTGCATTTTTTAAATGACTGACGGTGATATATGCATGCTTCATTCCGTTTTATGGCCAACATCCCACTTTATGATATTCTTTATGATTTTTTTTTTTGTCTTTTTGAGACAGAGTCTCACTATGCACTTCAGGATGGCCTTGAGCTCACTTTGTAGCCCAGTCTGGTCTTGAAATTCCAGCAATCCTACTGCCTGAGCCTCCCAAGTGCTAGGATTACTGGCATGTGCCACCATGCCTAGCCCATTCTGCCTATTTTTGCTTTCCTCCACTAACAGGGATCACATCACTTACTATATAACCTTTTTCTGTCCATCTTTTGCCTCCTGTTGGTGGGGTGGGGAGTGGGACTTGATGATAATTTTGAAGGTTAGGTTTTTTTCCTTAATTTATGATGCTTTGTCAGCCTCTGTGTGTGTATGTATCTGGTAAAGTTTAGCAGACCTTACAAGTAATTCATCAATTCTTGAATAAATGAATACTATGTGGTACTTTAGTGTATGTATCTCTATAGGAATCATCCTCCTCTTTCATTCTTGGAACACTTAGTTGGTAGAAGGTCCCTTGTTATTCTCAGGTGGAACCTGTCCCTGTCTGACTATCCTGCACTCAGCTGGTATCAGCACATCAGAACCCATCTTCCTAAAACTTTGTCACCAGCCTGATAGAAACCAGCAGGAGGGTTGGGAAGGCCCTCTTTGGGGACATCTTGGGCATCTGCCTGTGGTCCTTTCAGCCCACTTGGCTCAGGGTGGTGTATCTTTGTTCAGAATTCATTCATGTACAGTTTTTATCTCATATACCACATGACTGAAAAAAATAATAAAGTTCAGACATTAGTAGCTCTGTACGTCTCATAAGGGAATGGTGAGCATATAGTCTTGCTAGAGATGCCAATGAGTAGCATGGAGTAGTGAGCTTTGTCATCTGATCTCTGTCTGTGCAGTTCCTGCAGGACACTTTGGATGCCCTCTTCAACATCATGATGGAGAATTCGGAGAGCGACACTTTTGATACATTGGTGTTTGACGCTCTGGTAAGGGAGCCTTCCTTTTCATCTGCTTAGACAGCTAGAAGCTCTTTCATGCTGTAGCCTTTGAAGGGGGAGGGGCTCTATCACAGTCACCTTGAAAGCCGATCAGTTGTAAATCCAATCAAAGGAGAAGCTTTGGAGAAGTGGAAAGAAAATGTCTTTTAATGTGAAACTATAGTTATGCAAATGTCATTTCTAAGATAGGAAGATATAAACCAGGGACCAACTTGACTGAAAATGTTAAGGTTCTTTTCTTGCATAGGCTGCAAAGGGCTAGATGAGGATTCTGAAATGGTTTTCATTATGTTGCTAATGAAAATATTATCGATTATTTTGACAGGTCTTTATCATTGGGCTAATTGCTGATAGAAAATTTCAGCATTTTAATCCTGTTTTGGAAACTTACATTAAGAAACACTTTAGTGCAACATTGGCCTACACGTGAGTCCTCTTATTATCTTAAAACTAGTGCTTCTTTTTCTAGAATGTCAGATATGTATCTTTTTTGTCAGTGTTTATTTTCTGTAACTATAAATTTTCCCCTCAGAACTCCAAATTTATTGATGTTTTTACTATTGTTTGCCTCTTACTATGCTAAAAAAATTTCTAAAATAGATATGTGATACATCATTATAACATGCTGGAATGAATTCCTGTTCCCCTTTATACCTTCTGTTTTGCTTTAAAATTTTTACTTTATGTTTGATGAAACTGATAAATGGATGCAGATTGCCTACCACACTGTGGGCTTCCCAACAAGCGTTTGATGAATGAATAACTGCATGTATCCTGTTTAGAGATTATTGGTTACTTGTACTCTTGAGTATATCTCCTTGTTTTTGAAGGGTGCCTTCTCTCCAGCTTCTTAAGCTTCCATGCTAACTGATTTGGATTCTTGCTGCTTGCCTGGTGCCCTCCTGTTTCCTCCTCTATTTACCCTAGAGGGCTGGTAATGCACAGAGGGAACATCTGCGTCTGGGCCTGAGAGGCAGCTTGCTTTGTGTCCTGCATGGTCCTGGCTCTGCTTGGACTTGGGTTACATCTCTGTCCGTTACAAGCTTGGAGATCTTGGGCAAGCTGCTTAACCTCTCTGGGCTTCATCCAGCTCATCTGAAAAAAACAAAAACAAAAATAAAAAACAACCAAAAAAATGGTGATGGTAGGTTTTCTTGGGAATTTTAATCAGCTATTACATGTAGAGTGCTAGGAATAATGTCTGAAGCTTAGAAAGTATTAAGCAATTGTTAAGTCTCTTTTATTATTAAATATATTACAGTGCATTGTTTGCTCTGTCATTTTGATATTTATTCAAATTTTGTACTGACTATATGGAAGATGAAAATTTATATCATTTCTTTCAGAACATCCCACTTAGAATCATCACAGATAGTGCTATTTAGTGTCTGTATAAACTGAGACAAACTTGTGTGCAGCCCTCTGCTCAAGGTTAAGTTTCTGGCTTCTGGAAGCCAGTTGGTGTTACACACGAGCCCGTATCCTGCTTTGCCTGCGTATTCACTGAAGGTTGGCAGTGGAGCTTCCAGGAGGGCAGACAGCTGCAGGGTGTCCGCTATCCTGGAGAGCAGACTGGACTGGTTTTTTGGTTTCTTCTTCTTCTTAGTCTTTTGCTAGTAAATGTTTAAGACACGTAAGACACTTTGTTCATTTAGTGGAGATAGTAGTTTGTAGACCTTTATAGACCTTGGGGAACGCAGGTCAGATATTACTTTTTGGCTGTTCAGGCAGAACAGAACTGTGCAGGGTTTGTAGAAGTGGCTTGGTGAATGTGGTGTGATTGCTATCTGTGGTAGCTTTAAAAAACTCCTTATCTGAAACATGGCCAAAGAGCTCTTCTTGAATTAGGCTTCCTACTTTAATTTCAGAAATTGAGAGCACACAGCCTTCTTGTCCCTTTGCTGGCATCAGCCCTGCTGTGCTGTGCTGTTGGGTAGAATGGGTGTACTTACTCTCATTGGAAAAAAATGGAGATGGGAGTATTTGGCAAGTTGCTCAATGGGAGAGAAAGTGTGCCATGTAATCTTCAAGCTATGCCGAGACCGAGATAGGAATCAGTATTCTCCCACTGAGACTCTAGTGTGCTGAAAGGATATTTTTATTTTGGAAAATAAGTATCCTTATTATATTATGTTTTGATAAACTACTAACCTCAGGTGACTCCTTAGCAATTGGAGTAAGAGATTTTACTCCTAAAATATCAAGGAAACCAGTTTTGACCCACAGATCTGACAAGTCATGAAGGTTCTTCTGCAGCTGATAGCATCCTTTTGGTATTCTGCGGCCTTGGTGAGATTCAGGTACTAAGTATTGTCACTAGTCTCCTTCTCTTGAAGGCTGTGTTAGGTGCAGGCTTAGAGAGAAATTTTTGCCAGTGGGCATTCTCCAGCTCCCTGCATGGATGATTCATGGAGGATGGAGCACCACGGATGTGACCAGCAGTGACCAAGTACGAAGTAAGGGAGGTGGCAGCTTTGGGGATTGTCCTTTAGAATAATCAGCATGACTGGGCTCCTTTGTGTCCATGGAGCTCCATGTAGGCTCCTCACTGATGTAATTGATGCTTCCTTTGATCTGCCCCTCTAGCTCTTACCAATGATTTGATTTTTTGTAAAGTTATAAAATACCCTGGCAGATTTGTTTTCTGGTTCTGGGCCATTGTCTTCATAACTTATTATTACATTTTATTCGTTTCTTTGATTAATTTATTGGAAGAATCCCCAAAGTATGTTCTATGGAGTTTTTTTTTTTTTTTTTTAAAGAAGTATTAATAGGAATGAAAAGAAAAAGTGTGAAGTTGGGAAAATGAAAGATTATGCTAAGACTTCAGATACTGCCTGTGCTTTGAGAAGCACTAGGAGAGGCATGACCTATGCTGTACTTTCCATTGTTTGGGCTATAACTCGATCTCATAGCAGGAGGATCCCATAGGCTGAGCTTCAGAATACACTCAGACCACACTGATAAGCAGCTGTCTCTGAGAAGATCAGGCTTCCTATTGGAATTCCTGTAGCCTGATCAGTTATAGAAATGCCTAGCATCTGTTCCCTCACCCGGAAAGCTTCTTATTGTGAGTTCTTAGTAAAATAGTTAATCTTAGGTCACCCATGTAGCAATTACAGTTGATCTCAAACTAATCAGAAATGCTGTTAGTGCCTGAGCAGATTACTTTTGTGAACATGATGCATGTTTAAAAGTCACAGTGAATTCTTCAATACATAAAAGTTTGATGAAAGGAGGAATTTGTGTGATATATATTCTCCTTGGTCTGTGTAAAACACAGTGCATGTGTGCTGCTGGATTTTGGAGAATTGTATTTTAGCCCCATATACTTGAACTAAAGCTATATTGAAGTCAATTGAGTCATTCTTGTATAGTTCAGAAGACAACGACTTGAGTGTTATCTTTCTGATAAAAAGATTATTATAGTATGAATCAGAATCAGCAGGAAGTCTAGAAATTTGAACAAAATTAAAAATTGCTTATTTTTACTGTCTTCAACATGTATATATAACACATGCCTCATGTAAAAAAAAATTTTGATTTCAATTTTTATTACTACATATATGCTGTCTTAGTTACTGTTCTCTTTTGCTAAGACTAAATACCCAATACCCAAAGTTACAGGAGGAGGGGCTTATTTGGCTTACAGTTTGTAGAGGTTTCAGTCGAAGGCAGGGTGATGTGGCAGAGGGGCAACAGTTTATGGCGGTGGAAGACAGCAAAACCAACAAGAGTACAGGGGAAATTAAGCCTCTTTCTACCCCTTTTTATCTTATCCAGATTGCTGGGATCAGGGTGCTGCCAATCCAATCAGTGAAGTGATCTGGCAATCACCTAGGCTTAATCCCAGCACCCTTAATCCTACTATTGCATATAAATCAGTTACAAACTCTACATTCAGCTACTTGGAAAAAATCTGCTTTCCATGGCTGCATGGGTTTTGGGGGAACATCTAGACACAAACCATAACACAGATTATATTCATTATGGGGAGTTTCTACCTGAACATTATACATTATTTTAAACTTTGCCTTCCTCTCCCTCCATCTCTTAGTTCCCTCCCCATTTGCAAAAGATCTCCTTGTTTCCTACTGTATTTTGTATTATTGTAGTCTGTTATGTATTTTTTTTTAAATTTTATTTAAAAGGAAAAAGAGAAAAAACAAAACAAAGCGGTGTAAGAGTACAAGTAATACAGAACTACAAAAAAAAAGTAAGAAATCACCAGTTAATAGATTACACATTATCATCTTAGAGATAGTTGCTCAAGTCACAGTATTAAAGCATACAAAGTGGACATTCAAACAGTGAGACTGCAAACAGTTGTGTTCAATGATCCAACCAAAAACATTAATATGGTCAGCTATTTAACACCCCTAAACACACTTGCAGTTGTATCCTTTAGAGCACATTTTTCCCTCTCTTTTTTACAACAAAATTTACACATTTTGGGTTTTATTACTCCTTAGTTCTTATTACTTTTTTTTTTTTGGAAGAGAATAAAGACAAATATGGCAAAACAAAGCTGTCAGTCAAAACCAAGGATAGATATAGTACATGATGTAAAACAGAGTACAAGGTTATCAACAAGGTTGATAACAGAGTACAAGGTTGATAACCATAATGCCTCTTGCTTCCTTCAAAAGAATTGTCTATGTCATCAGGTATTATAAAGTTGAACAAAACAGTAGAGAACAAGACCAATAAAACTTAAACATTATAAACATTACAAGACTTCCAAAGGAGAGTCAAGGAGAGTCAAACCAGAATGGGCATCTTAGTGAATCTTACTGCCTTCAAAGTAGTTGCCTATACCCTCAAACTTGATACTATCATACAGAATGGAACAGAGTCTAATCAGTCAAAACAAGATAGTGGGAGTACTATAGGACTTCAAATCAAGTTAACAGGAAATCAAAAAAAGTTACTATAATATATCCTGCTAATTTTTAAAATTTTTCCCCTTAATTTAAAAAAAACTTAAAAAATAATTAAATAATTTTTTTAATGGATAAGGGAGAGATTGAGATAAAAGAGGACATAACAACATAACAATACAGGTCAAAGCATGACTGTTTCAGCAACCTAGTGCTTCACCACCAAATAACCCGACTTAATAGTAATTACCATAGTGTCTGTCTTTTTCCTTGAAATATTTGAATATAACTTCATATACTATAGCTTAAAATATTTCCATATCAAGAAGCCCAGAATAAAGCCATTCCAATTAATAAGTGAAAAATTTATAAGGCTTCAAGGCCACATAATGGGGAATCATGATTACCACATATTTTTATATATTTGAATCATTACTTACATTAGGGAAACTATTCCTTATTCACATATGCGAGATTGATTTATTTCACTTATGAGTATGGTCTCAAGCTGCACCCATTTATTGATAAATATCTCAATGTGATCCTTCTTTATAGCTGAGTAATACTCCATTGTATAGAAATACCACCACTTTTTTATCCATTCCTCAGTTGACAGACACTTGGGTTGTTTCCAAAATCTGGCGATTACAAATTGTGCTGCTATAAACATAGGTGCACATATATCACTGTGGTATGATGCTTTCAGTTCTTCTGGGAATATGCCTAGAAGTAGAATAGCTGGAACAAATGGGACCTCCAATCCCGGCTTTTTGAGAAATCTCCAGACTGACCTCCACAAAGGTTGTACCAGTCTACACTCCCACCAAGTGTAGGAGAGTTCCTTTTTCCCCACAGCCTCTCCAGCGTTTGTTGTTGTTGGTTTTCTTGATCCCTGTTATGTATTTTGCTCTTCAAATTACTTACACTTTGTGTATCTCATCTGAGAGAAACCATGTAATACGTTTGTGTGTCTAATTTATTTTGTGTAACATGGTTATGTAGCAGAAATTGAAAGTTTTCTGTATGTAATGCTGTATGTAATTGGAGATAACCACTATCTCTGGATTTATTTTCTGTACTCACAAAATTGTATTATTATTATTATGATTTTATAAAATGGCATCATAATAATTGCATATTTACTTTAGAGCCATTTCTCTATGTACATATAGTAAAAATCATTTCATGAATTTAGCAGTTATCACATGAGTATACCATGATTCGTTTAGCCATTTTCCTATTGATAAATGAGTAAGCTGTTTCTAATTTTCAATCATTCTGAAAAGAGCTGCTAAGAGTATTTTTGTCCAGTGTTTTGCAGCCATAGTTTTTATATCCCATGAGTAGTAGCTACTTAGGACCAAAGGTATATGTAGTTTACTTGATAAGAAATTGCCAAGCAGTTCTCTAAGATGTTTATACATTTTGAATTACCACCAGCCATCTGTGGACATCCCATCAGTATTAAGTCTGATTCTTAAATATTCAGCCTTTGTAATGGAGGAAAATTTTATCTGGTGAATTTAATTTGTACTTAGTGACTGATGATATTTAGTACCTATTTATTTTTCATTTGTCATTTATGAAATGTTTTATGTTCTGCTTTCATTGTTTATTTCACGATTTATCTCTTTATTATTGATTTGTAAGATATGTGTAACCAAACACAAATTTGGAACCTTTTCTCCCTAACTTGTAATGTATATGTATTTACAAACAAATTTTGAACTTTTTATTCTCTGCTTTGCTTATCTTTTTTTCCTAATGGTATTTTTTGATGAGCAAAAATGTATAGTTTTGTTGAACATAATTTATCATTTTAAAAAATGCTATCAATTTTAGTTTCATGGCTACAAACATCTTTGCCGAAAGTCACAGCAGTACTAGTATTATCCATTGTTACAGCTTTTGACTGATGCATCTATTTAAATAGAATTAATTTAAAATTCTACTTTCTGAGTTACACTAGGTCTGTTTCAAGTGTTCAGTTGTCACTCATTTGAAGAGTGGCTGCCGCATTGGACAGCTCAGTTACTGATGGCTCCTACCACTACCGAAACCATGTTGGGTACCATGGTTTAAGTAATTGTGTACTTTTTAAGTGTTAGAGTGCAGAAAGTGCATCTAAGGAAATTTAACATCTATTTATGATAAAGTCAAATGGAAAAACTAGGAATAAATGAGAATGTTCTCAACTGATTTGAAAGATTCATAATACAGTTATGGCTCTTTGGGGTTTTTTTGGAGGGGGAGGAGGGGTGTCTTGAGACACAGTCTCACTATGGAGTTCAGGCTGGTTTTAGTATTATGGTTTCAACCTAAGCCCAAGCAAAATCCTGGTGTGCTTTGGTGAGTAAACTGACTAGGTTCTAGCTGAATTAAAAATTAATATGAAAAAATAAAGTGTCTAGAATATCCAGATAGGTTTTCAGAAAATGAATTCCAGACCTAGTATAAAAATATAGACTCAATGCAGAGGAGTATTGGTATAAAGACACAAAAATACCAGTGGGAGAGAATATAGAATACAAAGTGATACAGAATAGACTCGCAGTAGACCTGATGATGTGTAACTATTGTTTTCTTTTAATAAAATAACATCATAACTGGTATTTTTTCCATGTTAGCCATGATAATTTTCCCCTCCGGTGCCTATGTTTTGTATTTAACAGCCATGCACTATTTTGTTGTAGGAATGTATTGTAATTTATTTAAGTGGTTTTCAAATAATGGACATGTTCATTGTTTATATATTTTTCCTACTACACAAATCTGCAGTAAGCATCTACTTGTACATTTGTAATTGCTTCTGTAGAAGATATTGTTAGAAGTGGAATTGCTCATGTGTCTTTCCCATCTTACAAGATGGTGGGTGTAAAGGCTGAGAGACTAGACAATAAGGAGAACAAAGCCATGCCAAGAATGCTGGCGCCACTGGCATGGTTAACCAGAGTGGCAAAAAGCCAAAAAAGGGCAGTCACACTGCAGGTGAATCCCTCTCTTCGTCAGAGGGATTGGTTGATTCTGTCTGCTATGTGTTCTATAAAGGTTTTGTATTAAGAGGAGATAACAGGCTCCAAGGCTGGAAAGAGAAAAGAAAAGGTTCTTCGCATTCTCACAAGGCCAGTTGGTAGTGATATGAATGATCGTACCTAGGTGGTTAACATGTACATGGCAAGCCATTGAGCCTTGACAGAAACCCTTCAATCAACATGTGAAACTAGCATCACTCTTGTGACCATTTGGATCATCCTCACTGGGCATCAAAGAGACAAGACAATGGTTTTCCTAAGGAACAGGCCAGTGGCCTGCTACTGTGACCAGCCTCTTAATTGTGTTCCTCTGTGTAGAACACAACAGAAATTTCTCATTTTTACTTCCATAAAAATTGAATCATTTAAAACCCCGTTACCTTACCAGTGCTTACTTTAAGGAGCAGTGGCTGTAGAAGCCCAGTTACCAGGAGGATGAAATCTTTGACATGAAGAAAGACAAATACCGATTTCAGAGTAGCAGGTTGATCAGAAAGCAGTGGACTCACGAATTTTACCAAAAGTCAAAACCTGTTGCTCAATTCCAGCACTTTGTGATCTACTTTTGCCTTGTCCAGTGGAATTTATCCTCACAAATTGCTCTAGATTTCTCACTTAGAGGCTAATTATGTAACTGATACTTAAAAAAAGAAAAGTGGCTCATGTCAAAGAATTTGAATATTTTTAATTGTAATAGATATAACCAACAGCTATTCTAATACATATTCCTAGCTTACCCTCTAAAAAATATTGTCCCTGTTTATTTCATCAGCAGTAGTCTGACTCTGAAAGTCATGAGCATACTAGGCAAAAATTTTATTTGTTATTTAATCTAAAATTTTTTACGTGAGTATGATCCGTTCTAGTGTCTGGCTCACGCTAAGCAGAGGTTCTGCAGCTGAGCTACATCTTTATTCCTTTCTTGTTACTTAAATTTTATGTATTTATGTTAGGAGTTGGTTATTTAAAAATATTTCTTAATTTTTGTATTTTAAATTTACCTTCTCACAGGCACTGAAGCTTTAACTACATTTGGTATCATTTGACTTTTCTAGTTACTTACATTAGAACAAAATAGAGAAATTTTTATACCTTCATTGTTTTTATTTAAAAAACCCCGCAATTACGAAAGACTGTCTGTGGACTTAAGATAACTTAGGAAGTGATGAATTACAATGAAGTTTCCAATATACAACGTATTTGCATCAATGCTCTATAGTTATATCTTTATTAGGATAGAAAATTTAAGGGTAATTCAGATCAATTTTTATATGTTAAAAATTGTATACTTTTGTTTTGGGCAAGGCTTTTAATGCTTTCTTGTTAGGGAGTTGCTTTCTCAGTTCTCAAATTTTATAAACTATGGCACAACTATAGTAGACAAATGCAGTCTTTATCTTTTTAAAGGAAGCTGTTTGAAGGGAATTATATCAACAAATGTAAAAAAAGTTTTAAAGTCTTTTCATGTATCCATTCATCTTATTTTCACATATTATTTTTATATTTTAAGTAAGAATTCTTAGAAAATACCTTCAAAATTGAAGATTGTTTTATCTTTGAAGATTGTTCTCTAAACCTACTTTTTCACTTGAAAATTCGGGTTTTAGAAAAATCCACTAAAATGATGTTGAGATGATTTTCACTAACACTGTATTGTATCATACCTTTTTTTTTTTTAAGCAAACAGGTAAATCCCTATAATATAGAATTTGCTTATTTGCTGTAAAGGGCATAATTCACTGGCATTTAGAACATTCAAAACGTTGAATTACATGACATTTCTTAGTTCTGGAACACTTTTAGAATATCTTTGGAGAAAAAAAGTGTTACGGGTTTGGTGGCTTCTACTGAAAAATCCTCTTGGTTTTGTTTTACTCCAAGAAAGCTAGTTTACCCATCAGACCCTTTGCTTCCTAATCTGTAAAAAAGGGATAGTACTACCAGTTTGTGTTCTTATGAATATTAAATTAGTTAATACATTTTACATGCTCAGAAAAACAATCTCAGGGTTAGAAAATGCTTCTTAAATGTTCATACTTTGTGCCTGAGAGGTACTTTTGTCAGTTAATCTGATTAGAAAATTTTCTATGAAAATTTTCTATGCATGTATTTATAAGTGGAAATCAAAATCAACTGTTTTGCAAATGTCTTTATCAGTTAAAAATGTAGATGTTGCCTTTTTTCTGGGTGTTAATGTGTTTTTAATGTGTCTTTCTCTTGTGACTAGGAAGCTGACCAAAGTACTGAGGAACTATGTGGACAATGCGGAGAAGCTGGGAATAAATGAGCAGCTGTATAAAGCGATGAAAGCTTTAGAGTACATCTTCAAGTTCATCGTGCGCTCACGGATACTCTTCAATCAGTATGTATCCCAAGAGATGCAGACCATCCTGCACATCTTCCCTTTTCTTTATCTCTTGCTCTTCTCTCTTCTCTCTCTTCTTCCTGCTCCTTTCTAGCATGACAGAGCACTAATAGTTACTCTCATAAAATAGAAACTTTTAATTGCTTCTTCTGCAGCTCAGGGCAGATTCTGAGGAGGATGCACTGATGTGAGGTCTGGACATGTGCTTGTAGGCCACACACTGCTGAAAATATCCATCATCCTGCACACACCGGGACAGGTGTCCATTGGCACTCTGTAGTTCTTTTATATAGCAAATATCCCCAGAAGAACAAACAAAAATGATGCAAGCGACAACAGCAAAAAGTCACTATCCAGGGAAGTTGTCTCAATTGGGAAGGCTGTGAGGCTTCTTCCTTTTCTTTTTGTTTAACCAGAATGTTTTATTTCTGCAGAATTATTCCTTTGTATGCAGTATTCATGTAAAAGGACACCCACGTACTTTAGCTTAGTGAAATTTTAATATTACCTGGATTAATTTAGGAATTATTTTTGAACTTAAGGAAAATTGGAGGTATTTATGATTTCATTACTTTATAGAGCATATTGACATTTTATATATTAATATTTATGATATTAAGAGCTATGGTGCTAAAACAAAGGCACCTCTTTTGGCCCATAGTATTTCACTTTATGATTGCAGAAATGTGGAAATGGACTCTTTTGAACTTTAGCATATTGCAGTGGACTCACTGCTTGTTTCAGAGGATGACTCTGTGAATTACCTGCTCTGAGCAGTATTAGTTAATCATGGTAGGTTGATGCTCTTTGTGTGGTGACTTCTACATACTAAAATGATGTCTTGGTTACTTTTCTCTGGTTGCTTGGATAAAATACCCAACACCCAAAATGAAGGAAGAACGGAAGGTTTATTTAGCTTACAGTTTGTTAAGATTTCCATCCATAATCAGCCAGTTCCAAAGCAGAGAGGCACATAGCAGAGAGCAGCAGTTCATGGTGGTGAAAAACTCCACAAGCAACAAGAGAAAAAGGGAGAGGAGCACCGAATGAAGACTCTTTCTGTTTCTTATATGTATGTAAGCCACACTGAATTGGGTATAGCACCCATACTTACAATCCCAGCATTGGACGATGAGTCTAGATACCCGTCTCCATGACTGCATGAGGCTTTTAGTGGACCTCTAGACTCAAACCATACCAGGTGGGATTCAGGAACCCATGTTCCTCTGAGTCAGAGAATTTCTTATCTTGCCTTTGAAGAGCAGAGTACTCCTGACACATTATCAGTGAAAATGTTGAACTGAAACAGAGTGGACCCAAATCAGTACTTTCCTGTTTCCTTCATACTTTATTTTCATCTGTTTGGGGCAAACATGTCCAGAAGGGCCAAGCACATAGGGAAAGGATTCATATTTACTGTTAACTACACCTTTCTAGAAATAAAGCCATAGAAACCTATTTTTGAGTATGGATAGCCCAGTAGCAGTTGCAGTGCAGTAGCCATCATTGACCTGGGGTCCCAGACCCTTGTTGCTGGTGAAAACACTGAGTGCCTCTGTTCACACTGGATGATGACTTAAACAGCATTCTCTGTGCTACCATTTTGTATATGAAAACCCCAGGGATCGGCCTTTTATCCTTAACTAAGATCTCCTTGCTTGTTTATTGTATCTTTTATAGATAGCTGTGACTTTTTAAAAATTTATTCTTTAAAAAGTTTAAAAGTAAACATAACAAAACAGAACAAAGCAGATCAGAAGAAAACAATGTAAGTGACACAGATTTGAAAGCAAGACAACAGGAGCTCTATAGTGGCTACCATAATGTTTCTTGTTTGCTTCTAGATAGTTGTCTATATCGTCACACACAACATACTCATACAAAACAAAATAGTATAAAACTGATCAGAACAGAGTAATGAAGGTATTACAGGTCTTCCAAATCAGACTATAGGAAAATCAACAATGGCTGCTATAATGTCTCTTGTTCTCTTCAAAATAGCTGTCTCTGTCCATACCTTCATGTATATTGAAATTAAATAATACAAAACAGACTAAGCTGCGACTCTTAGTGTGGACAAATGCTTTCTTTTTCCTAAGAGTCTGAGCCACCTGTGATTTTCACATTGTTAGGATGAAAAGACAAGGTAAATTAGGGTGTTTCCTTACATTTTGTATTATTTCAATAATGTTAATTCTGTGCAGTTGAACTTGTTGGACTCCCCTTCCCCGCCGTCATCTAGTGCCTCGCTTTTATATTTTCCCTAATGATTTTTAATTTCCAATTATTGTAAGCCATAAATCTACACTAGGGTGAAAAATTGAACCTGAAAGAAGGCAGTCGTCCTGTCATGTGGTTTCTTCACGTTTTATTTGAAAAATTTTCATGTTTTGCAATTTGTGATACTCATCTCTTCTCTAATTATACCGAGGATGTCCAGGGCTTCATCATTAAAACAAATATTTATTGATGATCTGTGTTTCTGTTGTAGTAAATATGGTATTAAGTCTTTTGGATAACAGTGCTGCTTGGGAAAAGATTGAGGTCACTCGGGTAGACCAGTGATACATTATTTCTCTGTCTTCCTCTTTCAATTTCAAGTTACAAATGGCTTAAGATCTTAAGACTCATGCTTTATAAAATTGTCTTAGTTTGATTAGTCACATAATTGTTAGGAATATTACTTGTTGTATGCAACTGTAGACTCCAGTTTATGGGGTTTCAACAGATGTGGTTCACTTCTTTTTTTCTCCTGCACTCAGCTTAGAGCTCAGAGGAAGCATCTGATCTTATGAAATTGTCCCACGGTATACGTAGGTTCTTAGCTCCTTTTTGCTGTATACTTTACCATCATAAGGATCTGTTTGTGTATCTTCTAATCCCAAGATGGTTCCTGCCCCTCCTGCATCACATCTACACTCTTAGTGAGGAAGGGAAAGCAAAGGGGTCACAGCTATGCCAGCCCTTTGCCTTCCAAAAGGCCTCCTGTCATTGGCAGAACTATGTCATGTGACTACTGAAGCTACAGGGGATGCTGGAAGGGTATTGTAGATGAGTTGATGACTGCTCAACAAAACTATAGTTACTGGGAGAAATAGGTATTGGGCAGAGAATTAGCATTTTCTTCCTTATACTTTTAATTCAAGCATTATGCTGCCTGAACGCTTAGACCTTCCCTAACCCATTTAAGGTTCTAAATCCTTCTTAAGGAGGCTTACTGGAGCCTTTGTTTCCTATTAGTAACACTCCTGTCACAAGTATCTTTTAAATGTTAAATCACTGGAGCCCTGGTTGATCCTAACAAATGTTTATGCCACTGAGTTACATAAGACTGGGTGAAGTACTCTGTTGACTTTTGCACATAACTCAGGAAACACTCTTAAAGTGCTCAGGCCTGCCTTCTTTTATCTGCTGGACATAGACCAGGATAACTGGTTCCCAGCTAGGAACCAGGAGGAAACATCTTGATCCACAGCTACTGTGAAGTAGATTCTTTGCTAGGGTAACTTGTTTGTCAGAAGAGCTGAGACCTGTCCAGGACACAAAGTGAGGAGCAGTAATCTCTAAAAGACAAGGAAATATCGTAGTAGCTATCACAGTCCCTGTCTCAGCATCCCTAGCCTTTCTAGCCAGTACCTAGGGTTCGTGTTTGTATTAATAGTCATGATCTTTTTTGTCCTTCCACTCTCACATTTCCTCCTTTCTTTCCCTTTTCTCCCCTCTCCTTTGTCCCTGCCTCTGTACATACAGAAGTTTTTCAAACCTGACAGTATCTCAGATTTTAATTGTTTCGTGACTTCATTTTTCCCCCCTCTTAAATATGGATCTTGGCTGCCTAGTAGGATTTTTGAGGGGAAGGTAGGACATACATCCTTTGTGATACGCAGAATGCAATTATAACCACAATTGTGGGTGTGATAAATACTTTTTCTGTTTAAATCTGTGGGACTAAAATTGGTGAGAAGATGTGTTAGTACCTTATTGATTGTTTGGGAGGAGAAAACTCACTTTAAAGTTGTGGATAATAGGGCCGGACTCTTGGTTTTGCTCCTTGTTGTCCTGGTCACTCCAAGTCCTCATTGTCCTGCCTTGACATTCACTCTTACATGAAGGACCTGATTGCAGAGGCATTCAGATTCCTATTCTGAGCAGATTCCTTAAGCAGCAGCCTGGTATCCCACACAGATGTCTAGAATATTGGATTATAACAAGCCTTAAGCAGGCCTTGTGTGGGCTGTTTTCAGAGGTGTGGAAGAAAACAAAACAGAGGCCCTCATTTTCTTACCTTCAACATATTTATTACCTTGGGAGAAAAACAATTGTGCTCACAGCTGGATTGACAAGTAAGTGTATTTTTCCTTTTGCAGTTGGAAAAACTTTTGAGATCTATTATTTTTTTTCTTTCACCGTGGTCTGCTGTGTTTTCATATAATGCAGTAGCTTTGTTAAATTTTGGGATAATTGACAATAATTACTCTTTCAAAGAACAAAGAGGTGAAACTTGGGAGATGCAGATATTGAAACTGATCATAGTTATCTTACTATTTTTATTGCTATGCAATTCCATACTTTTTGTTTTGTTTAAAAGCGCTTTTTTTTTTTTTTTTTTTTTTTGTCTTGAATGAGAACAGAAGTTTAGAAACTATGGACCAAAACATTTGGTTAGTAGGGAACCCACCATCACATTCTTCGCAGCAAAGAGTTCTTCTCCTCTGGTTTTTGTTTATCTGTGTTTTCTATGTAGGCAGATCAAATTAGCTGGAAGCCAGAAAACAGACACATTCCGCATCAGCCCTACTGAATCAGATGGCAAAATCTATTTACATTTGGCTTCTTGCTTTTCTGTGTTTTGTAGTTTTTGCCTGTCATCTGGTGTTAGCTTTGTGAATAATTAATTATTGCTCATGAACAAGTTATACAGTTCTGACTTAAAATTACAGCTTGGGTCACAAAGTGAAAGGTAGTTAAAAGACAAAGATCATGTTATTCCTTGTTAG